AATTAGCTTTAGCTAAAAACACTATGATAGACACATCAGATGTCTGTCAAAGTTTATCTATGTTTTTGTATCTGTCCCTATATAAATAAACTTAAAAATAATAATAATTAGGAATTTATATGCTCTTCCTTTTCTCTTCCTTTTAACCTCTAGCCATCCTGATAGCTCACCTGAAGCTGTCACCTGGGGAGCTGCGTCAGGTGCTGATGAACATGACCACTGATAGGCTGGAGCCAGCCCACATCAAACAGCTGCTGCTGTATGCCCCCGATGCAGAGGAGGTCAAAAAATACGAAGAATACAGACAGGACCCCAGCAAACTCAGTGAGCCAGACCAGTTTGTGTTGCAGGTACAGTCCTTGCAGGGTGTCGACGGAGGAGTTTGGCTTTGTTGCTTACACCAGTGGTTGTGTGCATCAACTTGAGTCTGTGTCTGTATCACTGCCCATGTGTTTATTATCATCACTCATTTGCTTGTCATGTGTGTTCACCATCAGATGTTATCAGTACCAGAATACAAGACCCGTCTCCAGAGCCTCCTCTTCAAGTGTTCTCTACAGGAGAAGACGGAGGAGTTGAGGGGAGCGTACGACTGTCTCTACAAGGCTTCGTTGGAGCTGAAGACAAGCAAGAAGTTGGCTAAGATACTAGAGGTGGTCTACTGTTCATTTCTTTCACAAATGTGTATTTCTTATTCTGCAACAACCTCCCACCTTCACCGTGGGAGATGGGGTTGCTTATCAGATGTGACAAATAGTAAAATATGTTCACAGAAGTATGTTCAGTTTTTTCCTTGAACTGGAGCTAGACATACAGTATTACTCCATTTTTAAAGAACAACCAAGTTATCCATGAGTATATACGAGAGATACAGTTAGTTACAGTTATCCGTGCTGCGTTCTCTTTTTCTTTAGTTTGTGTTGGCGATGGGGAACTACTTGAATAACAGCCAGCCTAAAACCAACAAGACTACAGGCTTTAAGATCAACTTCCTTACAGAGGTACATCATACACTAATGCTTGTGCTTTTCAAAGCAGTCTGTTTTCTTTCTCATTTTCTTTCCTTATACAGTTAATAACCACATTGTGTCCTCCGCAGTTGAGCACAACTAAAACAGTGGATGGAAAGTCGACATTTCTACATATTCTGGTCAAGTCATTATGTCAGCACTTTCCGGATGTGTTGGACTTTGCCAAAGATTTAACCATGGTTCCTCTTGCAGCCAAAGGTAGATACATTTTCCTTTGACCTCCACTCCATAGCTTGAGAACATTTAAAAATATCCCGAGCACTTCATCAAGATTTATTTGTTTGTTTTTCCATGTTTGTCACTGATTTTAAGTGTACTTTCCTTCTTCTATTTCCCTGCTTCACACCCAACACCCACACATCTATAGTAAACCAGAGGACTATCACATCAGATCTGAATGACCTTCATACAACCATCCAGGACATTCGCTCAGCCTGTCAGAAGATGCCTGCGACTGCTGAGGACCGTTTTGCTGTCGTCATGAGTGTATCCTTCACAAAGCTGCCAACTAGAGGCGTAGAGCGCTGAGATATGTAGGCTAAAGATAACAGAAAAAAAAACACTAATAAAGTAGAACAGAAGATGAAAATGTTGTTCCCCTTCACTTCAGTATGTGTAGAACTTCCTGGAAAACAGTCATCCAGCAGTCCAGTCTCTGGAGTCCTTACAACAGAGAGCTATGGAAGAATTCAGCAAAACTGCCTCCTACTTTGGAGAAGATGGCAAAGCCACCAACACCGAGGCCTTCTTTGGTATCTTTTCTGAGTTCATGAACAAGTTTGAGGTGAGCAAGATTCAGGCATTCGTTTCCTCCACCTCTACAGTGTGACAGTCAAAACTATATTATGCACGTTCTCCTCTTTAGTTCCTTCTCAGCCATCCCCCAAACTATTTAACATACTGTTTTGAAAAACCTTAATTTTTCTTCAAAGAGTTGCTAATGAGTAAGTTTAAATGGTTACAGAAAAACACCCGCACTCTGTCAGATGATTACCTCATTACTTCCTAGAGTTTCTACTCTGCCAGTGTTTTGTTTTTAGAAAGGCCCATGCAGTGTGTTAAGTAATGAGCACAGCTTGCAATTCATCAACGATGGTGAGAGAAAGTCTGCTACTAATAATGATCTACTTACAGTAGCAGGATCATTATGTTGGCACTGAGTATTCAGTCCGGTGTTGCAGCCTGACGGGCCCTTATGTCTGAATATTTTTCACAGGAAGCCATATCATGAATAAAAATATTCAAAAACAAGTTTGAATGTGGTCATTAGAATTTATTTATTCAGCAGCTCAGCAGTAAGATTTACGGAATTCACATTCAGTTTTCATGTACTCACATGTAATTGTTTTCTATGAATGGACTGAAATTCAAACGACAACAGTATTCTCCTTGAAATCTGTTGTAATTATTATACATTTCTATGAGTCATTTTACTGCCACTTTTAAAATTTAATATTTTATATTTATGCATTCATAAAATACCGTAAATTTTAGGGCTCAAATCCTTATTTATAAACACTGATTAAATGACATAAAATATAAATACCCAAAAGATAAGAAAAAACACAAAAAAATAAATAATATATTCTTTGTGCTCATGCAGTCAGTTGCAGATGCTCCTGCTTGTACTTGTACTTGTACTGTGTATTTTTCTAACTTTTTAGCTTTCTTTCATTAACTCCTCCCTCAGAGTGTCAGTCACTCTTATTCATTAAACTGGACCTTGGAATGTTTCTCAGTACTTGATTAATGTGAAATATTCTGGTTTATTCTGTCCCAACACTGCAATTTTTAAGGATTTAAATCAATTCCAGTGCTCAACATTATCAGTATTTATTATTACCACCACTAACTATTCATTACACTTCTGTCACATACTGTAATATGCTGTACATAATTCCACGCACTTCTGATTTTATTTTCTATGCCTGAATTTCCAATTTTCTATTTATATTACTATTATTTCTATTTCTTTAATGCCTTGTTACATGAGCTACTGGAATGAAACAAATTTCCCCTCGGGAATCAATAAAGTATTTCTGATGAGTATGCACACAACATAACTGTACATTCCATACACGCTATTAAAAACCATAGTAATAAAACATTCATATGAGCTTACAAACCCTGTTGCTTCTTCACCACAGAGAGCGCTCAGTGAATGGCAAGCTGCAGAAAACCTCAAGAGCCCCAGAAGTCCACGAATGGCCTCCCCACTGGCCTGGTAACACACACACACACACACACACACACACACACACACACACACACAAAACAAGATTTTATGAATAAATGTGTTTTTGGTAAACTTAAGGGAGAGAGAAACTTTTGCATCAAAGATGGACAAGTTAGCTTTATACCAGTGGTATAGTATAAACTGTATATCCTTTCAAAACAAAACAGAGTTCCTGTTGAAGTCTAAAACTTAAATGGCTACTACATAGAAAAGAACTTTGTTTGGCCGTCAAGGTATCTCTATTATATGAAAGATAGTTACTCAGTAACGTCCGTGTAAGTTTTCTTTCTCTCAGCCAGAGTTCAGGTCACCTCTGTACGTGTGGTATTACTGTTCTCCAGTCAAATCTTTGTTATATATACATGAATAAGACATAGACTTACAAAAATAAATCTGATCCTGAAATAGATATTTAATTAAAAAGACATTCACATTCATTCGGTGGTTTGAAAGAAACTGCAAAAGCACTTTTCCTGTTAGTTTACATTTTCTGTACATTTTCTGTTTTTGGAAGCTGCCCACCACACTGAATGTAATATAAGTTCTGTAGCTTATTTCCTCAAGTAAATACTCATTGAAATCAGCCGTCATGATGACTTATCATTTACTGCATTGTGCCCCACTGTCAGCGGATTTTCCACATTCCTTCCATGTCCATAATAGCCATATAATTTCTTTTTTTTCTAAATGGTATCATTCTTGTTTGATACTTCTAATAACTTGTATATATGAGACAATGTCAGTGGGAAGTTGGCACTTACTACTTGTTTTTATAAAAGACAATTTTAACTGTTCCAAGGACAATTTTTAACCCATGAACAAAGTAATTTAAGGGAATAGAAGTGGGATTGCAGAGGGCAGTGTGCAATATGTGAATGTTTAGCTGTGTTTCAGCGTTGGATCTTTAAACTGTAACAGAGATATATTGTGTTTGTACTCATGAGACAATACGCCATAATATGCTGTATGAAGCCCTATAATGTGTTGCCCAAATATTTATTTTATGGATGTGTCAAATGGACTGACCATAAAGTTGTACCACTGAGAGGACAGCAATGTCATTAAGTTTCGTGTAGCAGATGCAGCATTTTACATGCTTTCCAAACAATTAATACTGCAGCATATGAGCTTCTGATGTGCCAATGCTCTGTAAAACATAAAGCTTAATCTTTAAGTGGTGTTCTTAAATGGTAAGGCAAATTACTATAAGAATAATGTGTGCAGCTAGCAAAAACATTGTTTTCTAATGGTTTAAGTTGTTTTTCTCTGCTTGAATTACAGAATGTAAACCTCTAAAGCTCTGCTGTCTATTTAAGGCCTATAAAGTATTAAGTCTGTATTTTGTAATGTTGTACTAACAATGGTGAAGACTATAAAGAGTGGTATATGATATATTTTTGCCTGGATGTCTGTTTTTAAGACTTCTAATGTAAAAACGCTCTGTCATGGTTGCTGATGTACTCATGGAAAGACTTAGTTGTGTGTGCACGAGTGTTTTATTTACAGTAAAAAGGAAATCAAATCAAAGGCCTCACACACACACACTTGTTTTTACATATTCTGTAACTCTTATGCTACAAATAACATTATGTCTTTACAACTGCTGTTGACACACCTGCTATTGCTGCAACAGGTTTATTTGCCCTGCTGCAGCAATATCTCAGATTAGCATTTGCTTATGTGAGATAAGTCTGTATGTGTATGTGTCCTTATCTTGCTGTAATATAATGATATCGCTGCCCATGTCTTCTCTGTAATTAGAATGAATTTAAAACTCATTCAGCAATCATTTAGCTGTGTGTTGTGCAAACACCTCTCTGTTAGGAGTAATAAGTCCCTTACATTTTAACTAAACCCTTGTAGTGCACGAGGTGAAAGTGGAGTTTGATCTTTCGGTGAGTGGAGGAAGCTTCGAGACAAAAATGTGATTCCTCGGATTTATATAATTTGTGACATGCTGTATTGTTTGGGCCGGACAACAACGCTCAAGGCAGTCTGGCTGGAATGATTCACAGTGTGACAACTTACTGATTACTAAGGTGAGTTTATTTACCAGATAATATGATCAAATATGCAGCCTGAAAAGTTGTAGCTTTTACTGATATGTGACGTGCTGTAAAATCTCAGTAGATTTGTCATTTAAGATGGAAGGAAATCACTAGGAAGGAAAGGAAGGTTTATTTTTATAGGTGTCGCAAAGTGCTTCACAAGTCAACTGTAGCGTTTAAGTGCTAAATCTGTATGGTTTCACAGGCTGATAGAAGTGCAGTTTGGAAGTCTAGATTTAAATATTTAGCCGTGTCGTCAACAGTTAACTGTGCATAACAACAGTGCAGCAGGTTTCATAAACATGTCTCCAGCAATTAACAAATCATAATAAAAAATAATAAACATGCTTTGAGGTTAGATTATGGTAGTGTGTCTCAACAGGTCAGTGATGGAAGAGTCTTGCATTTTACTTCAGTGTATGTACAGAAGTACATGGTGTCATTGCCCATAAATGCCCATCGCATTTATGTTTATGTTGTATGTCTTTATGTCTGCAACCATGGTAATTGTGCTGCTGCCTGTCTTGGCCAGGACACTCTTGAAAAAGAGATTTTTAACTTCAAATGTTTTTTTCCTGGTTATATAAAGGTATAATAATAATTTTAAAAAGCTTCCAAAGTGTAGCTGAAATGAATATGAGACTTCAGTTTTCAGGGTTAGACAAATCAAGTGAGTATCCTCCCAAGTTAAAGTCTTTTTAGTACTCTTTGTCTTAACATTTCTCCACAAAGAGGAAATTTATACACAAAAGACTTTGAACGACTGATGGTCATGCTGCATGTTAATATCAAAGTTGACCCAAACTGTGTTATATGTGCACACTTGTCTGCCTACATGATATACTGCTGGGTAGATTAATATGTTTTGTCAAATCTGTGCATGAAAAGTAATTGTGTCAAATAAATGTAGTGGAAAGATAGTAGACTAGTCCACGTACTTATTTTTGTTCACTATCACAGCAGGGGACAATGGACCTTACACAAGGCCCCCATGGAACCAGCATGCCCCCTTCCCCATCGCCCCCTCCAGGGGGCAGAAGTTCCCTGGTTACTGTAGATATAGTGGTGCTGGTAGTCTACTTTCTACTGGTTCTGGCTGTTGGCTTCTGGGTAAGGATCAATACCTTCACCAAGAATGTTTACATACATTGCATTTACATACTATTTCTTGTGGTGTATGGAAAAGTGTTCCAGGTTGTTATGAATTGAGAGTTAATGGCTTAAAGTCAGAAGCTAGCAAGATACAGAAATAGTCTGTATAAACAACAACCTGTCCAGCTGGAAGGCAGGTGGCTATTATTCTGATGACCACACATACCAGCCTTCAAATCTACTGATCTTTTGCTTGTGATTTAGCATCATTCTTTCATCATTTGCTTGCAAAAAGGGTTTGATTCTCTGTGAAAAAAGTGGGAAAAAATTGGCCTCTCAGTATTCTCAGCATAGGTAGAAGATATGTACAATGTAGTATTTCGGGTAGCAATGTCCAGTTTTTCTTCTTTTCTCTGGAAGAGAGAATATCTTGTTATGAGTATGAATATGAGAGTGTGACCATGAAAGTTTTCAAGCTGCGAGTCCTGCGAGAACATGTCCTGCCGCGTTTCTTTCACCTGTGACCTTGTTGCAAGATACCATCTTCCTCCAACCCTGTCAGCTGTGCTGGTTTTGCAAAACACATTGAATGTCAACACACCAACAACCATTTAGTGGCTTCAGCTGAATGAAATCACCAAGGTATGGTGCCAGATGTTGGTACTTGATACAGCACTCTACGGAGCTGTCCTATCACGTCGTTGGGGATCCTGTTTGTGATGCCAGTGACTTTCTTTTTGGGTGTCATAAATAGGCGTTTCTCCTGTAATTGTATCTTTAAGATGTTTCTCATTTTTCTGCAAGTCCATGTGCAGGACAAAGCGCAGCACAGTGGATGGATACTTCCTGGCTGGGAAGAACATGACCTGGTGGCCGGTGAGTCAAACACCTGACCAGAGCCTGTATTTCTAATAAGGTAACACTTTAAAAGTGAAGTACTGATTGATCCTGATTCCTTTATCTATATTCAGGTGGGTGCCTCGCTGTTTGCCAGTAACATTGGCAGTGGGCATTTCATTGGCCTGGCAGGGTCAGGAGCTGCAGCCGGAATTGGAGCCATTGCATATGAGTGGAATGTAAGAGACTGAATATATGCTCTAAAGACATGTTACTGTAAAAACAAGTTTGATATATTGAACATAGCGGCTGCCTTTAAAGTCTGAAGTGTTCAAAGTTGTTGCTTGGTCTTCGACAGGGTATGCTGATGGTGCTGCTGTTGGGATGGCTCTTCCTACCCATTTATATCGCCTCTGGGGTAATATATGTATACACACATAAAATATCACACATGCACACATGCATTTATTCCTTCGTAATCATCTTCGAACTTCTTTCTTTCTCCAGGTGACCACCATGCCAGAATACTTACAGAGACGGTTTGGTGGTAGAAGAACACAGTTATTTATAGCTGTCCTGTCCTTATTTATCTACATATTCACAAAGATATCGGTATGATTCAAATCAACAGTAATTCACTAGTGATCATATGCTGTGTTTAGACAAATTATTATGTTTGTGTTGTGCCTGCTTATCTCAACTCTACCGCAGTTTTTACACAAAACCCCCTTGCGTGTGTGTTGTATTTTCTGTCTTGTATCTACACCGTGTGTGTGTGTGTGTGTGTGTGTGTCCAGGTGGACATGTATGCAGGCGCAGTGTTCATTCAGCTCGCCTTGCAGTGGAACATCTACCTGGCTGTGGTTCTGCTGCTGTCAGTCACTGCTCTATATACTGTAGCAGGTGACCTTTCTCCTTCTCTCGCCCTTTCTAAAACCTCTTGCTCAGAAATTATAAGAGCTTAGACAAAAAAGAGTGCTGCTTACTGCTTGTTCTGTATGTCACTGGCCGTTGTGTCCCAGGTGGTCTGGCTGCAGTGATCTACACAGACGCTGCTCAAACTGCTATCATGCTGGCAGGATCTCTCACCCTTATGGCCTTCAGTAAGTCCAATCTGACTGCACATGACACCCTCACATCACCAGCACTTTATGCTCCAGTTTGTCTGACCCTGCTGTCCCCCCGTTTAGGCTTTGTGAAAGTCGGGGGCTGGGATGCTCTGATGGAGGGATACGGCAACGCCATCCCTTCGATCCGCGTGCCAAACTCAACCTGTGGCATCCCCCGAGCTGACGCCTTCCACATATTCAGAGACCCGGTGAACTCTGACCTGCCTTGGCCTGGGGTCATCATCGGCATGTCCATCCCCTCCATGTGGTACTGGTGTTCTGATCAGGTACTACAATAAAAAACGAGCACCATGAAAATGAAATACTAGACAATTAATATTGCAGATGATATGCAATGATTAAAAATGTCCACATAATAATAAACACCAAAGAGTAAAATCAGATATTACAAATTAGCAAATCTAAAAAAAATCCTTTTTGTACAGGGAGAATATAGGGGCCCTGACTTGCCAACATGGAAACAGCATTTTTATTTTAATGCATTTCACTTATAAAATGTTAGGGGGTTGTTCTTCCATAAAAGATAAAAGTGTAATTTAATGCTTTTGCTGTTCTAACAAATTCCTGTTAAGTTAAGCATGAAAGAGTCTGTAAATCCCCATCTTGAGAATTTGGAATGTTTTGCTCTACAGAGGGGTTGGAAATCCTTTCATGCAATATCAAAGTGATCGTTTGCCAACCTGCCAAACCTGAGGCAACAGAAGACGAGTTGTTTTAATGAGCATTTCCTGTCTTCTCAGTTCAGCACTTAAAACACATAAAACCTTTACCCCATGATACCTGCTAGACTCTTCAGTGATAACAGCGAGATATGTGATTGCCTTATTCGTTCTGATTCTCAGTAAATAGTACTTACATACTGCTGCATGCGTTATCGCTCATTAACCAACAGCCCCTGGATGTTAACTGAGAGTCAGCTGTGGATGTGATTCTCTGCAGGTGATTGTGCAGCGATCCTTGGCAGCTAAGAACCTGACCCATGCAAAAGGTGGCTCCCTACTGGCTGCTTATCTAAAGATTCTCCCTTTCTTTGCTGTCATGCTGCCTGGCATGATCAGCAGGATACTTTACACAGGTGCAGTTTGAAATGTATGTTTTAATTCATCAATCCCAGCAGCTGGGGCAATGTGCTTGATATACACTCACTGTGAAACTGTATATGACTTTGTTCGAGATTTGTGTTTTGATAATGTTGTTTAGATGATGTGGCGTGTGCAGACCCCGAGTTGTGTGAAGAGATTTGTGGCAACCGAGTGGGTTGTTCAGATACCGCCTACGCCAGACTGGTCATGGAGCTGCTGCCTGCAGGTGAGACTTTTTCTCTTGTTACACCTCCTGTCCTGCCCTTTTCTCTGTGTAGCCAAACACAGCCTCTTTCATGTCAATCTGTGTGTCCTCCCAGGGCTTCGAGGTTTGATGATGGCAGTAATGATTGCTGCCCTCATGTCCTCTCTGACCTCCATCTTTAACAGCTCCAGCACCATTTTCACCATGGATCTGTGGAAGACTTTCAGATCTCGTGCATCCGAGTGGGAACTTATGATTGTGGGCAGGTATGTGACCATCTTTGGGCAATCAGACATGACCCAAAATGTGGTCCTAGTTGTAGTATGTGATTTGTACTGCAGCACTGGTCTCAAAAATCCTCTGCCTCTATACAGACGGCCACCCTGCCATCTGCTTTTTACATTGGGGTCTATGTTAAAGGTCATAAATCGTGTATTGTGTATTGTGTTCCCACTTGTACTATCTAAATTTTTTTTTAATTCTATTTAACCACCTATGGCATTATAATGCACTTTGGATGAAATCATCCACCAAACAAAAATTATATTTTTTTTCTGTCATGCTCATCCAAACCATAATCCCTCTTTCCACATATTCCTATAATGACTTTGCCAGATTTTCTTTTCTAGCCAACACGGCCCCCTCATAACGAATGTACAGTGCTGTTCAGATATACAGTTTTCCATTCCCTTCATGTCTGTGCAGAGCTAAACTGCATCATTTTGAAATGAATCTAAAGTTTTATGTGTTCTGCAGGGTGTTTGTGCTCGTGCTGGTGGCAGTGTCTGTGCTGTGGATTCCCGTCGTCCAGGCCAGTCAGGGTGGGCAGCTTTTTATCTACATCCAGTCCATCAGCACCTACCTCCAGCCCCCAGTCTCCATCATCTTCCTCATGGGCTGCTTCTGGAAGAGGACTAATGAGAAGGTAAGGGGGTATAGCCTCAGATTGTGTCTGTGACTGAATATGGTTTATTCATTGAGACATTGAAGAAAGAGATCCTGCGTCATGTCAGTGTTAGGGCATGTGTGTCCAGTGGCGCCCCCAGAAACTTCTCCTAGGAGTGACCAGATGGGGCCACTGGAAATACTGGAGGGCCAAAAACCATAACTTAATTTTGGGTCTATGAGCCGGCTCTTTTATATGAATGATGGAAGCCAACTCACATCTGAGAGCTGTTTTCAGAGTGTGGGGTTGGAGTGTCACAGTGATAGCTGTTTATTTTCTTTCACATGAACTACTGTGAAAAATATAGCCTACATTATTAATTTAAATAAATAGTACCTAATGTAATATATATAGTATATAGCATTTTATTGGATACTCACCAGGGGAGCCACTGGGGGGCGCAGTAATTTTATCAGGGTGGCGTGGCCACCCTTGGCTGTCCCTTGATGTGTGTCATATTCTACCAAGACAATTCTTTAAGGTATTAAATAGCTGGGTTTCCCTACCAGTCAGTCAACTGAAGAAGTCTCTTGGATAAGGGATGAAACATCTAGTAACTTTAACCAAGTCCAGTTGCCCTTGATTTTAGTCTTCTTTGGATAACTGACTGAGAAGCTTCATAGACACAAAAGGTTTTTACTGTAGATCACTCCCAATGACTGGCTGTACAAAATGTTATTTATTAAATGTGTAATCAGAAATATTTTAGGTCAGATTTATGTTTGTGTTATGTCTCTACAAGACTTTCTGAATGTAAAACTGTGACTTTATGACAGCAAATTACTTTGTATCCCCCCTCTTCCTGCATCTTTCTCACCCTCCACCTCTTTCATCATCATTTGTGTGTGCACTGTGGGGTGACAGCAACAAGACTGCATAGAGTTCAGATCAAGATGTGAACCTAATCTCAAAGCAACATGAGATAAAATGTGAGACCGGTTTTGTGTACAAGTGTAACTAAATGCATGTGTGATTGTGCTCATCGACTCTCCCTCCTTCAGGGTGCATTCTGGGGCCTGGTTGTCGGCCTCTTTGTGGGCTGCATCCGTATGTTGCTGGACTTCATTTACCCTATGCCTCTGTGCAATGAGGAGGATGACAGGCCTGGGGTGTTGAAATATGTGCACTACTTATACTTCTCCATGTTGCTGTCCTTCATCACCCTGGTTGTGGTGGTTGCAGTCAGCCTAAGTACAGAGGAGCCCAAACCGGAGCAGGTGAAGCCACTTCATCAGATCTAAATTGAAGTGCTTTTTATGAGCCACTGATTAAGATGGAGAAATTTAATTTGACTTCTCATTTTAAGCAAAATTGTTTTAGATTCAGTGTCTCACCGAAAAACATTTTGTGCACAACTTAATACATAAAATGAATGCATTTCCTACCATAGAAAAATGTTTTGAAACAGGCATAGCTTATATCAGTTTGCAGTCTTTCTCTTTCAATAGGGCACTGTTTTGGTCGATTAACATCACTACACAAGATGCAAAGAATCCAAGTATCTGCTCATTATAACATCAATCTACAGCACCACTGCGTGTCAATAGACTGATATCAGTTTGCAGTACACTGATTTAAAACTGTGACCAAACGTATCATTTGGATCCTTCAAAAGTATGTCTGCTGTAATTCACACCTGACATAAAGAACAGTTTTTGGCATCTTGCAAAAAATAATACTGACAGCCTCTGAAACGTCTATAGGGGAATAAATGCGATTTTCTTAGTTCTTTGGAAGTTAACTTTTTGCATCATGTGTGTTTGTTTGGACAGATAAGTCGCCTCACCTGGTTCACAAGGTTTGACCCAGTGGACCCCAAAGAGCAGGTCTTCTCAGTGGAGCGGGGTACTAAGACCTTAGAGGTGATAACTAGTCAGTCCAATGAGATGGGAGTCACAGGAAGAGAGGAGGAGGGCAGCAATGGAAAAACATGTCATTGCAGGAAAGGTGCGTCTCTGTCCTGAGTACCCTTTTCCATTTGACCAATTGTCCGCCTCACCGGTGAACACACCCTCTCCACACTCAGTGTTTCCTCTCTCCCTTTTGAACTCTCCAGACTCTTCGTCCTCCCTGTCCAGCGTCCAGAGCCAGTCCAGGCTGATGTCTGCCCTCTACTGGCTGTGCGGGATGGAGAGAAGGAAGGAGGGAGAGAATGTGACACCTCCTGCACCCGAACAGCCTATCTGCTCTCTGGAAGAAAAGCCATGTTTACGACGCATTGTTAACACCAACCTCATCATTTGCATCTCTGTAACTGCCTTTATCATTGGCTATTGGGGTTGACAGGCAGGTTGTGACATTCTCAATGGAGTTATAAAAGTTATTACTTTTCCGTCCCCTTTCTTCTTTTTTGCTCCTAAAAATGAGATGCCCATACTGTGATACATTTCCTTTAATACACACAGTTGATGGAATGGATTCCACGTTGAAGTATAATTTTGCAACTGATGCCTGAAATGAGTCTTTTGTAATATTGGTGACATATCTGGAATGTCATTTTTCTTTAACAAAAGTTCCATTTACAGTATTTAGTAGTAGTATTACAGCTGAAACGCATACAAAAATAGACTGAAGATGACTGCTGAGGAGGAAATCTTTTTCACACTTTGTATTTTTGACAAAATAACTGAGAAGCTGACAACACTGTAAAATGTTGAAAAATCTTTAATTAAGAGTAATGATGCATTGTATGATGCATTATGTGCAGAAAAGCCAACATAAAAATGCTGAGAAGAAATAAAAAACATAATCAAAGAGCTGAAAAACAAGGTAAAGATTGTCAGCTGGAGTAAAAATTATACACAAAGAATGTAATTTTTTTGGCTGTATTTGGCTCATAGCTTTGAGCTTGAGTGGGAGTGATCAGTCACAAGCTATGTATTGAAAATACATTTATCACAATTTGTTAAAAATCCCTTTTAATGATGAAAGGCAATCTTTGGTAAATCAGGTCAAGTGAAATCAAACAAAACTCAGATGGAAAACAAAACAAAAAAATCTACCCCACTGGATTACTAGAAGGAAAACTGCCTGAAATACCAAAAAGTACAGCATATGTGCTGTGGAGAGGACACTGCTGGAAGACAACTGCATTTTATATTGCACTCTAGAGAAAATATTTGGTCATTTGCAACCATAATGAAGTCGAGCAGCTCTAAATTTTTATAAAATTTCCTTTAGCCCATATCCATTGGTTTTGGTCCTTTACACTAGTGTGTACAGTGTGCTGCTGAAGTGTGTGACAGTTATTGCCCTCCTAAGCAGAAGATCACATTTAGCCAGTTAAGATAATGCCAGAATGTGATTCTGTTTAATGATGAATAGATCATCAGTGGCTCGCTAACACTGAAATATCTCCACACAACTGTGCTGCCGAGTAAAAAACAACTGTGCGTTAAAACCTGATGCTAAAACCAGATTCACAGATTCCTGTCTCCGAAAAAAAACACCCATAGCATTGAACCTATAGCAGACAGCAACATTTTGAAAAAGAAGCAGGAGACATGTAAAAGTTTATCACTCTTTGAGTTCTGCTGCTATTTGTTCAGGTTATATACTTGAGTCCTGTTAGCCTCGACTCTAGCAAGGCTCTGCAGTCCAGTCTTAAAATACACAGCAGTATAGAGAACAAAGGGAGTTTGATATGAAGTCTAAAAGCTGGACAGGGGTGTTGTGGTTTATACCACCACTGTAAAGTGAGGTTTTTGGTTCGAGTCTCAGCAACAGAATAAAAGGCAGCCATTTTTCCCCCAGAAAGCAGTCTGGCATCATGTGAGTAGAGCGTGAAGAGGTGGAGTAAACTGCTTGAGTTACCTGTCTGATATTTGATTCTAAAAATTTGAATCTGTAAGGTGGACCAGCTGATTGAAGGAGATGAGCCCTCTCTTTTTTCACAGAGCGGTGCTCTCTGTATGGATCTGAGGGTCGAGGGGTGGGGCTAGGATGGTGGTGGCGGCGGCAGCGGGCTCTTGACCAGCAGAGCTCTCCCCTTTTTGGTCCACAATCACCTCAGGGATGAAAGCTCGTCCAATCCCCTTCAGGACCAGGCCTCCATCTGTATAGGACAGTTAGGGGGACGGGTCAGCAAGTACATTTGTTTAGACACGTCTTGAACCATACTTATAACAGCCACACACACACACACATTTACAAACTCTGTAAGACACCAAGGATGGATCCTTCTGTTAGATCTAGTTCATTTTGCATATATGGTACCAGTTATGTAAATTTTTAGAGGTGGAGGCAGGTATTGAAGAGTATCCTTGGTGTGTTAATCTTTAAATGTGAAGCATTTCCCACATAGATCTGTTCAATAAAGTGCACATACAGAATATCAGCAAACTGTCATGTTAGTTAACAACAGAAAACTGTTCGCCCCAGGGGTGGTGTGGGACTCACAAGCATGTTAGTTTTGTTGGACAGCGGGGTTAAAGTGCAGGACATACGCATACTAATATACATAAATATGTATACAGTAAGTGTGTAGCCAACAATTACACACAAAGGAGCAAAAGCCTACATTGTTTGTTTCCCCCACATAAACACACGCATGCACCGGACACAGAAGCAAGGCCAAGGCATCAGCCAATCAGATCCTTACCATTACCTGCTTGCAAAGCTCATCTTACAGGCAGGCCAGCAGTTCAGACATCTGCAATGTTTACACATTTCCTGTCATGCATCAGATCACCACAGTTATATTTAGTGTGTGAGGCACTATACAGTGAAACCAAAAGCCAGAAATCTACATACAGTAAGGCCCCGAGAGGAAGCTGAAATCACTCTATACTAAAGTATCAGCAGACGATCAGCAAGTGATTTCAGTCGCTGCGCGATGTTGCTTTGATGTTTCATGCACTATGCTTCATAAAAGTCTTTCAGTAAAACACATCAAGAGTTGCTGATGGCACAAACTGTAAACACCAAGTACATTTTCTCAAGTGCTGTACTTAAGTATAATTTTGAGGTATTTGAGTATTTCCATCTTCTGCTCCTTTATACTTCTACTCCAATAAAGATTCAGAGGCAATATTGTACTTTTTACTCCACACTAACTTGACAACTTTCATTACTTTGCAGATTCAAATTGATTACACAAAATATAAATCACTAAATAAATAATAATGTAGTATTATAGGTTAGGATAAGATAATAATAATTGAACATGAATGCATCTCTAATAATAATAATAATAATCCACTAACTAAAAAAATAATAATATAATAAATAACACTGACAGGATGCTTTCACATAATGAGTACTTTTACTTTTGATAATTAAAATACATTTTGCTGACAATAATAATTGTCAGGGAAATTTCTTAGTGGGCTTAATTCAACAGGTAATTGAACAGGTGAGGTCGGCTTATGTACAGGTCACGCTCGGGTTAATTTCTGCCTTTTCAGCCGTAGTTCTTTGCCTCTGTCTCACTCCCTGTCAGGGTGACGACAGCTGGCGGAGAGCGAGACAATATAGTTCAGGCACCAGTCTAGCAAATATCAGTGTCCTCTGAGAATCTCACAGGTTTACAGAACTCCACGGATTAGTGCAAAATACATGAGACCATTAGACTTCAACGTGACTAAAGGTAACAGATTTATCCAATAACCTTGTAGCAAGACACACATGGACAGTATGGGACAGCACAGGGATACATATTGTGGACCAGGAGTTTCGTCATATTGGTGTTGGTGCTACACTGTATTCTTTTACCATTCTCCCCGTCTGGGCTCAATAAACAATGCTGAGTTAGTCAGAACTTTTCCACACATACACCTGGCACCTGGCTCACTTTGTTTTCTTACACAACACTAATGTACTTTTTCTTAAATAGGAGGTTGAATACACAAATTTTATTTGTATACATGACTTTTACTTTTAGTAAAAAAAGTGTTTTTAAATTTTGGTATTGCTACTTTTAGTTAAGTAAACCACTACTGACCTTCTTCCGTCTTAGGTCTGTGCACCACAGCACTACAGAAGTGGCCCGATCAAAGATTAGCTATAGCTATTTGGAGCTAGATGAGTTTCCTTTGCAAAAACTTAAACATACAGTGCACATGTTGTGCACACATTCACACGGTGATGCATCTGTGATACAGTATAAGTACTCTGAAATGTTTTTAACATTTTTTGATTTCTACTGCCTGTGTACCTTTTTTTTTCTCCCCCCAATCTGATTCTTAACTACAGTCAGCTTTATTTGCATTGCTGGTACTATTTAAATATCATGATGCACAATATTTCATGACTGCACAATATTTCTTATATATTACTATAAAAAAACCAAAAAACAAACATGATCTGTGAGGAACAGGGAACGCACTGTTTACCTGTTATGATCTTGGAGGCGGAGCTGCAGAGGTCATTATCATTGTCATTTGCTGTAGGTTGTGGGGGCGGCGGCATGTTGGGTCGGGCCCGTGGCCTGGGAGCTGGCCTGGAGGGGCGAGGAAGAGACCCAGAGTGGTAGAATGACAGTGGGTGGGAGTGCAGTCCATCGTGAGGCGGAGTGCCAGGAGGGGTGGGAGTTCTGGGGGGGGAGGGCTCCGACTCGCCCTGGGCATGTTGGGCTGGAGGAGGCTGCGGGGGCGGGTGGCTCGGGGCGTGGATTGGGCTGTCTTTGCTGGGGTGGCGTCTGGGGGTGACGGGTGGGTAATGAGGTGTGCCGGCTGTCTGGGTGTTACTGGGATGGGAGGCAAGGGGGCTGGCCTGTTTGGGTGGGGCTGGGGCCTGCTTCTTGGTGCCTTCAGAAGAAAACAGAATTATTATTACATGATATTAACAATATTAATGGTACTAAATAATCAGAATATACATTCCCTCACCTCTGCGAACCATGTGTGGACTAGGCCCCCTGGATCCACCCTGAATGTGGGGGGTTCCTGCTGTAAGATGGAGTGAACCATTCCTCTGGGGAGGGGGGGTGGACTCACGGGCTGGGCTGTGGAAATACAAGGAATCCAAATGTTAATCAATCAACATGTCATCTGTGCATTACATTTAACAAGGAAGTGCTGCATTGGGGCAAGAACTCATGCACATAATTTCTAAAACAAACACGTACTTCCATTCAAAGACTAATCACATTAGGTGAAGGTTATCACACTAGGAGTAACTCAAAGAACAATATTATAAAGACAAGTGTAGAGAACAGGGATGCAAAATTTGTTCAGCAATCTGTTACATGCAAAAATCAGACACTGCAAAAAGTAGTCAGACAGACACGCTGACAGGCAGGCAAGGAGGAAGGGGAGTATGTTTTAAAAATTAGACGGAGTTTGGTCAATCATTACAACAAGCAGGAGGGAGGACAAAAGTTGCCTGTAAACAAAGCATCACATGATTTTTGTTGCATTACATTCTTATTATGTTAAAATGAAGCAAATTTGAAAGCTGTGGACATAATAGACATTGTTATTCTTGTGATTTTCCACTATATCACCTCGGATATGGGAACTATAAACTCAAAAGGACCAATCAAACACATGACATACACAAAAACGTGGGTGAGCTCCAGATTGGCTGATTGGCTACGAGCAGGCGGTGGACTACTGTTGCTACCTCAGCTCGCTTCTCCTTACCTGCTATCCTCTGCGCTGAGCTGGGTTACAATCTGAGGTTGCATTGTGGCTACCTGGACCCCACCACCCAGACCACCAACAACACCACCACCACCACCACCACTAACAGCACCACTCAGGCCAGGCTGCTCAGCCTCTGTAGCCGGGGACGGAACCTGGGGCTGGGGCTCAGGCTGGGTGGGACCCCAGGCTTCCAGAGGAGGCAGTGGGGGTTGGAAGGTGGGTGAGGTTAGCTGTGGCTGCTTTCTATTTACAGTGCTGGTTCTACGTGGAGCGGGCTCCGGATGTTTGTTAACAGTGCTAGGGAGGGGGGGGAGAGGGGAGAGGGGAGAGAATTCAGGAGGGCAAACCACACGCCATCAGGCAGAATGAAAGAGCAGGAGACAGAAAACAGTGAGAGCAGAGACAGACAGAGAGAGATAGTGCGAGAGACAGAAAGAGACACCACTTCCTGAGTTTATGAAACCAGCTCAGAAAGAAGAACCCAAAAAAAGGACATAAAACCACATGGCAGTGACCTTTTAAATAGAACAACTTTGACATCTCTGCAGGGACAGAAGTGACAGATGCCACACCATACAAACAAAATGCAACAGAGGAAGCCCACACAAAACATAAAACCAGCAACCTACAGTGTGACCTAGGCTTTAATTGGAAACAAAGGAGATAACACAAGAGTACACAAGAGTGACACACGAGAATTATAGCTCTAGACAAAATGGTATCCCAATAATACTGAAAAATGTTTCATTAAAAATGTCTGAAAGAGAACTGCTTTTTCATCATGTTCAGTACGAACCTTGAGAAAAACATAAATGATTAGATTGCGCTGAAATCAGCAAAAAATAACAGAAATGTGGTGCAGAAATCACACAGAACATCATTCCCTTCTTTTACTCGTTAGTGACTGGATTCACGGGAGCTACATTGGACTACGGCACAGCTTTGAAGTCTGGACTGGGCAGATCTTCAGTGGGTGTTTCAGTGACTGTGATGGACTCGTTGGCCACTACATAGAGGGCCGACACGACTGGGCCCCGCGACTCCTGCCTGCTCAGTGTCTTGGGACGGGACGGGAGGGTGAGGGGCAGGCTGAGGCTGAGGTTGGGGCGAGACAGGTACCTGTCTTTACGGGGGGTGTGACTGTCCCCGTCCTGCCCCACCAGGCTGCCGGGGCGTTTCCTATCCAGGCCGGGTTCGGGGTCTGCCGTGGCTGGGTGGGTGGGCAATGCAAACATGCCTGAAACATTGAAGTCCACCTCTGGAGGGAAGAAGGTGGGAAGCAAATAGACGAGAGGATGAAAATTACAATCATGGTAAAGATGATATCCTAATGCTTGTACCATATCAAGAATAATCAATAATTCAATTGCTAGTTATTTTTTAGCCACACTAGCTAGTAATTTGATACACACATTCATGTCTTCCTTATGATGAATTGTAATTATATTATTGTGTGTTTGTGTTTAGTGCAAAGTCGCAAATGTTAGCACGCTAACACATTATACCTGCTAACAGCATGTTAATATTGTCACAGTGAGCGTGTTCCCAGGCTGACAGTAGCATTTAGCTCAAGGCACCACTTTGCCAAAGTACAGCCTCAAAGAGCTGCTAGATGGCTTTTGTTAAATTATTTTTAGCTATAATTTAATTGTCTGGTGCTGGTAACAAACCGCTAAAAGACAAGCATGGAGCTTGTTAATTGCACATGTTGGAGAGACAATATACAAAAAAAAAAAGGAGAAAAAGAGTAAAAGAGTTTTCTTTTTTCAGTCCTCCTCACAATACATCCCTCACTTAAAACGGTAGAGGCACATTTGGAAAGAATCCCCAAGACCCAAAGCTTAAAAAAAACAATAAATGAAGGTGGTTGAAACATTATCTGCTAATAAACTGCTGTAGCTGCATTCTATATATTCAGATAATTCAATAAAATTTTATTTATATAGCGCCAATTCATAACAAAAGTTATCTCATTGCACTTTTCAGCAGGTCTAGACGTACTCTTTGTAATATAATCACCACAGAGTCTAAATTTGTCACCAAATGATATTCAAGGGACATTGTTAATAGTTGGTAACAGATACATTTCTCCCCAAATCTCCTTGTTGATGTGTTTTCTTTTCTATTTAACCTCTTATAGGTAAGAGAGAGAAGTAGCAAATGCAACAGAGGTTTTACCTTCAGGGAAGAACCAATCAGCATGCTGGATAATGGGCTCAATGATGGCGACCACGTGGACAGATGTAGCTGCTGCCATCTCTGCCAGCGACCTGAATGCACCCGCAGACAGACGGGAAGTTTTATTATTCACGTTGTACTCATAAAGTTAGCATAAATATGAGGTAACAGTTCTTACCCCTCAGTCTTTGCCCACAGCAAGTTGGGCCCAAGGACTATGGCGATGTTGCTGGGAGTCATCTTATTAACCTCGCTGTCCTGAGCCAGTTTAGCCAGAAACTTCACCAGATACCTGCAACAGAGTTGCTTTAAAAAACCTCTAAGCTACACAACTGTTTTTCGTTACAGACAAGTTTGCCAACTAATATTGTGAGCCAGTGGTTCCCAAGCTTTTGAGATTATGATCCCAAAACAACAGTGCCTTTTCCTTTTCAGAATGATTTTTTTTTGTTGCCTGAAGTTGTAAAAGTGTCCAATATTTCACAACCTCTTTTGGGGGGACATGACCCCCAGGTTGGGAACCCTTGTTCTAAGCCTAAGTAAGTGTTCTAGTGAGATGTCTAATTAGGCATTGAAATGATTTCTAGAAAACTAGTAAGACGGCCTTTTCAACTAAAATAGTTCAAATCTGATGTATCAATTACGAAAGTGAAAAATGGAACAAAAGTGAACTCTATACATTCAGTGCTGATTTATTTTTAGAAACACCTCTGCTGTGGCACCAACATGGTGAGTTGAAGACGCTCTTACCTGAGGTTTGCCTTATGGGTCTTTGGCAAATGGTCACATGTCACCCACAAGGCCTGAAGCCTCTTGTCAGGGTCAGACACACTGAAACCACACACAACATATTACATACATAAATTAGTACCAGAATATCTAATGCAACCTGTGAGCACACTTTGCTTCAGGTGTGTGTTTAATGCCTGTTAGCCCAGAGCGAGTGTGTTTTACAGGATATTAAAAGAGCCATGTCCGTGTGTCTTCTTACTTGGAGGCCTGTGTCCACTCGTTGTACAGGCCAAAAGTCATTAGAGGTTCAGGAAGTTCCCTGAGGTAGGACTTCAGGGCTCCTGTGTATGAAGGGAAAATCTATGAGAATATGATCTAGACCAGATGGTGTCAGTTTTTTGGGGGTTTGTAGAAGATGTTGTACCAGCGACGGCATGGGGATCAGAGTAGAACTCTTCAAGCTGAGAGGTGGAGCAGTCCAGCGCTGCTTTGAGCTTCTTCAGTTTTGACGCTCCGGCTGCTATTCTGAAGAGACCCTGCAAGGAAAACGTAGAGGAGCAGGACTGAACAGTGCTTTTTTTTAGGACAGGTTCAGGTGACTGGTTTCAATCCTTAAATTAAAAGGAGTGCGTCTGGGTCGGTAGCAGAAAAGGAGAAGTGGCCACTAAACAACTGAGAAAGTCAAGGGAGCTGTGGCACTTTCAGAATGAGTAGCAGACAAACGTACAGTTTGTTTTGTTTCCGTTAATAAAAATGTCTTAAAATTGTGCTCCTTGGGGAGTCTAGTGATATGGTTACATTTAAAGAGTGTAAAAGTGAACATGCTAATGGATAACAGATGTGCCCCCACACGCACACACAAAACTTATTCCCGCAGCCTCAAGAATAACTGACCACAAGTTGGCCACAGATGTTTCCAGACTGTACATGCCACAATTTCTAGAGAGCAGTCCACATGATCCACACCTCCTTCCAGCAGCGACAAGAGTGGAGCAGTGAATTCTGGTTAATTAACGCTTTAACTTTGCCTTACTTTACCAGAGTTTCTCCTTCTCTTCTGCCATCCATACCTCCTCCTTCATGCCGGTTTCCAGCAGCATCATAACGCAGGCCTCGATGGGCAGAGCGATCTCGCGGTTACTCCTCTTCAGGTGCTCCTCCAGAGCTGTGCCGAACGCCGGCTTCTCCATCCAGGAGTCTAAGAGAGATGAGCGCCATCAGTCTCTTTACGCTTATCCGATGGCTTGAAGCATTTCTGTTTCCCACAATACCCCACGGTCTATATCTACTATATCCATCAACAATGTACACTCAAAAGATTTATCCTTAGAATTTATCCTTAGAACTTTTTTTAAATTACAGAGGCTACGTTTTGTAAGTTCTAGTTTGACTTGGATGGATTATTTTGAACAAAAAAAAATTTAATTCTAGGTGTTTCATCCCAATGCTTTGCTGCCACAGTGATTCTCTCCCTGTCTGAAGTCTGTCACACGTATGATCACTTGCATTTCTATGACGTGCATTTCGATTCTGCTTATCAGTTCCTAACTTCTTGCACAATTCAGTCGCGATCCCGAACTGTAGTGAGCATTTTACAGGCCATAAAAGTTGCACTCATCTGCCAGGACCTGCTACGCTGACCCAACATCACGTCATTTGTTATACAGTACGTCAACAAAGCTTGTGAGAAGAGACAACTTTTGTTTACATTCCTGGACCATGACGGACTGCAGAAAACGCGGTTTGGCTTAGCTTCACAAAAAAAAAAAAAAAAAGATAACGACACAGAAAAATGCAACCCCTGCAGTAAGTATATTTCATGCAGGAGAGGAAGTACCTCAGATGTGACAGAGAATTTACTTAACACGGTGCGGATCTGAAGGAATGCACTGTGTTCAGTGTGGGTTGCGGTCTCCCAGCTATGTCCCCGCTCAGGTACAAAACACAGATGAGTTGACATTCACCTTTTATATTAAAGATAAACAAATGATGTCTACAAATATTATTCCAATATATTTTTTTCTTAGATACGAGTCCCCAGAGAGACTCCTTTCACATTAGCCATGAAGGGGACGAACCAGATTCGATAAAACTGAAACAATACCTAACCCAATATATCGGCTTTCTCCAGGAGAAATCTAGCCATGGAAAATCAGATGTACAGAATTTTTTAAACTGCAGAAAGCTGATTACTTAAACCTGGTTACTTAAGTGCATGTATGAAAGACAGCTTAGGAGAGAAACTGATGTGAGATGATTATAGTAATTTTGTTTTTTGGGAAAATGAACTGACTTCATTGCTATGCATCATTGCTTCATGTGTACCTCTAAGCTGTCAGTAATTCATTTATCTGGACCAAAGAAAAAGCAGATGTGGCATTAGTGATGATGTGGCTTGACACAATAGAGCTGGCTTTCATGAAGGAAATAACTGCTTCTCATCATGAAGGCTGAAATATACAATTTCCTTTCCCATTGCAGTGGCAAGAAAGAACACTTGGAAACAAGAAATGTGTGACAAAAATATTAAAATATTTTAACAAGCATGGCTGCCAGCTCCAAAACTATATTTGGGTTTGATGAGGAACTAAACAGGAGTGATGCAAAGGTTAGGGTTTTAATATTGATTTGATAGATTTAATCAATGTCTGTTTAATTTCTTGCTATTCACCTTGCTGTATTTGGATCGTTGGTATAGCGGCCTCCAGAGCTGCCAGAGACTTCCTGTGGTAGTCTGCCTGGGCCTCTAATAACTGGTACACAAACATAAACACAGGCATTCTTACCGCATCAGCAAACACTTATAATAGTGGAATGGACCATATTTGCATCATATTTCCATTTTAGTTCTGGGTGATTTATGCTAAACTGAGGTGCACCCACCATGACGTAATAGCGTGCATAATCTCCCTCTTTGGAAGCAAAGTTGTACAGGTCTGCAGAGAGCTGGTCCTGTAGGATAAAATAAATATATTTCCATACATGGCAATTATTATGGCAACCTTAGACCTTCCACTTTACTTTACACAGAAACCTTTCATTAAAGCGCAAATGAGCTCCAGATGACAAAGCAATGACCTTTAATTACATGGTCCTACTAATGTGCATAGCATGTTGGTTCCTGGTCAACTCCTGTTACAAGGCTTCCTTTGTTCAGTCAATTCCTAAGACATGATCCTATCCTAATGAGAAGGCCCTGGCTGGAATATACAGCCATTAGATTAAACATTTCTTGTTTAAATATTGTATAGGCAGCACACACAAACCACAGTTCTTGGTAAAGCACTGTACTGTTGTGTGACAACACCATACAATCGTATGATGAGTACTAAATCACAAAAACATGCCTTGCAAGAGATATTTAAAACAAACTCAACCTTGCATATTTCTACTTTGTTGAGAGCCTCGTCCATCTCGTCTTTGAGCGAATCGGCCTTAGCTGCCATGGCCTGGTTGTTGGACTTTGTTGCCTGGTACCACCTGCAGGCCAAGAAATCCTTTAGACTCTTACGCATGTCTACAGGTATGCAAATGTAAATAACAGGGATCATTAAAGACTTTAATCGACCGCTAAATTCAGATTATAAGCCAGAAGGAAGGAATCTTCTGATTGACAAAGCAATGACCTTCTGATCTTCTGAAGGAATCTTCTGATTCCTTCCTTCTGATTCAGATTATAAGCCAGTGTACCTCGTCTTGGCCGAGTCATAGTCCAGAACCAGCTTGGCGAGTTGTTTCCTCTGTTTTAGTATATTGGGAATCTCCACCTGTGAGAGAAACAGAGAGGATCATGAGTACAGCATGAGTACACATGCACTTTATAGTCAACACCTTTCCCGTGAGAACATCTTGTCAATGTGAATCATGCAGAGTCGTAATGCAACATAAAAAATGCCCAAGGCCATGCTGAATTTGGCACACTAAACAGGCGTTTCAGTCAATAGTAATTTGGTTAAAAAGTGATAAGTAAAAAAAAAACCTAAGTCACAAATATACAAATTGACAACTTCTTTATAGAAACATGAAGGTCATAAGTGATCACTACAGTATAAAGAGAGATGCTGTGTTTTTACCTCTGCCAGCTGGTTGAGAGGATCCAGGATCTCTCTCTCAATCTGGACTTCATGCTGCATCAGTTCAGTCGCTAACTTGCTCTCTGCCTCCCCACACACATCCATCATCTTGCTGCTCACACACAAGAATATATAGAAAAAAAGACTGTTATGCCTATTTTTCTCACAGTGAGAAAAATGTTAATGTAAAAGAAAACAAACACACAGACACACAAAGGGGCACCTTGTTTTACTTGGCATTTTCCTTTTACTCATATAATCAATTTTAATGTTCGGTTATTGGTGACACGCTGTGCGCTCTTAAATACTGCTGAAACTGGTCATGCATGGAATAAAATCATCCAGTTAACTTCCGCATCTCACCCGATCAGACTCTCATCTCCCAGCTGACTACCTCCCTCCTGCATGGCCTGCGACAGCGTCGTCAGGGGCAGCTTTTTCTGCAAGCAGACCAGCATATGCAGTTCAGACTACTTAACAATGTGTGGAGAACAAATGGCCAAAAGACAACCCGATGATTAGCTGCAGGCTTGTAAAAATAAAAGTGATATAAAAAGTTAGACAAAGACACAAAACAGAATTTCCTCAGTTATATTGTGTATGTTTGGCTGAGGCGGGTCTGTTATGCAGTTATAGTGAGTCTGGTGCTGAATATTTTTCTCACTCAGTCTCACTCATATCAATGTGTTACATAAGAGGAGATGCCATGTGGTCATAGCACAAGATAGCAGGTCCTTGCTCATACTAACAATGGTGTCACAGTGATTCACCCTGATTTAATTTCTGTATGAGCTACATGCTACACTAGCATCTCTACAGCAAAATGGAAATTCTTTACATAGAGGATCCTGGCTTTGTAGCGTGTTGCTCAACAAAGCACAGCTGCTGAACGAAAGAGCAGTAAAGACAGAGGGTGATTCAGAAAAATCAAGTCTTCTTACATGTCTCTTCTCTGTGTCTGTGCCCAGTTGTCCCTGCAGACAGGACACCAGCTTCTTGTGTGTGTTGTGCGACACCAAACGCACCACCTCCATCCGCCTCTCTATCTGTGTAGGACACAAAATGTTCACAAATTCAGAAATCAGGACAAGCAAACCTGTGTCTTGGTGTGCAATGACATTTTCACCTTCTCAGCACGCACACACGCACACTCTCAAGTTAAACAGAAACAACCTAGGTGAGAGCCACAAATCAAAACACATATGGGGCACGAGGCACTGCTCTTGTTATTGAAAGATGATGGAGGATGTCCATGCTGTTTGTCTAGCTCCGCAGTGTTACAACAGGCAGGCCTGATGGAAGGACTCACGGCAGATAAGCAACACATCAACAAGGCGGATGGAATGTGGTTTTTAATAAGAGCAGGGACACCTCTTTGTTTTGACATACAGTATGCAGAGATATTATCAAGGAGAACAGTTGTAGTCTCACTGCAGGCCTGGGGTGACCTGATCTACTGGTTATACGTTAGGCTGTTTTTTTAAAGTATCATATGGTGTTTTTTTCTTCAGCACAGCTCATCTGACATATACACTGTCAGATTGACTTTCTACCCTCCACGCAGCCCACGGTTTAAGTTAAACTTAAAAAAAGAGACGAGAGAAGGTGTAAGAGAGACAGAGAAAAAGTTAAACATAATGGTTCATTATGTAAGGTCCTTTATACACCACTGAAAACATAGATGTGTATATTATATTGATTTCTGTCAATAGATCCTCCTAAATATCACACACTGGACCTTTAATAAAAAAGTATGTATCAAGGTCAAAAGAACTACACAGGAGAGTCTGTTTTGGACAAACTATCAATATATAAACAATACAAATCAAGTTCTTCAACAATGAACAATGAAGTCCAATAATGCCATAAACAATATCCTGTTCATTGATTTGAGATTTGAGATATTAAAAGGGATATCACTGCTGAAAAACCCTGTATCTAAGAGCTCAAAACTTTTAAATATTGCAGCAAACAAAAATATAGCGCATAAATTAACAGGTTTATTTTCAAAAATGACAAACAGAGACGCGATGTGGATGACAGTTAAGCCAGCAGCGGACAAGAAAAGTGAACACCAACATACTGTATGTCAACGCAGGGAGATGAAAAGGGGGAGACAGCACCTAGATGACAGAGGGATGTGACCCAGGACCAGTTCATCATGTGTATAATAATGCAGCGCAGTGAGAATACAGATGTTTCATAGAGGAGACGAGCATCTGTCTGTCACCGTTAACATGTGTCTGCAGTGTAGTTCAATCAATTCACTGATAAACTACAGAATTGTAGAGTAACAGAAGTCTGACAAGTCTCACGTTTCAGGTCTCTTGCAGCTCTTCTTGGCAGTGGCAGCCTAAAGGTTAGAGAAGTGAGCTTACGGTCGGTTCAATCCCCGCACCAGCAGGATAAATCGGGGTAGGAAAGGTTAGTTCGCAATTTTCACATGCTGATGTTGCACCCAAAAAGCGGTCAGTCATTTAAATATTAATTTCCTCTTCCTGTTTCAGTGTATATATCCCGCTGTGTCCCTATTTGCCACTGATTTGCTTCACTTTTATCCTCACTAATTCGCTGTTTTCTTTCCGGGCTGTCAAGCTCTCGCTCTTTCACTCACATACATACACGCCTTTCCTCCTCCCTCTTTCCTGCAGCTATTGCTCCATGCCAGACTACAGCTGAACTTGGCCTCCTCGCCTGGATCCAATTGATTCGTTCACCATTCAGTTGATCCCCAGCTCTGATTAATGCATGGAAGTCTAGCTCTATCTGCTGTCCGCTCAATTGGATCCAGACCTACAAAAACGTGTTGCCAAGAAGGAAAGAAAGATACTTGAGCGACTGCAGTGTGGGCGGTACGGCAGACTGGATACACTGGGAGATCGAATTGTCTCTGCCAAAATGTGTTTTCCATGAGTGTACACCAAAAGACCCTCAGGACACACACACACACACACTCTCTCTCTCTCGCTCTCTCTCTCCACTGAATTGTCTGTTTTGCACGATCTACATTCAAAAAGTCTCAAAGTTTAGCTTTCTTTCCTCTTTGTAACTTGTCTGCTTCTTAGAGCTATGATGCAGATGTCGTTATGACATACTGGCATAGATTCAATAATGAAAATCACTACTATAACCTCCTTTTAACATTGCCTGATGATCTTAACCTTCAATTAGCCAGTCTCACGTCTCATTTAGTGAGATCTGTCCTCGGGGGGAGAAACTCAGTTTAGTCATATTTTGCACAAAATGAAGTCATTGGGTTGAAACAGAGAAAAAGCAGGAGGACTCCCTGATCATAGGCAAAGACAAGCACACACACTTCCACGATTAACAGAACAGAGGCAATCCCTCCCGCCTGCCTCTCCAGTTTTGGAGCTGTCCAAAGGTTTACTGGCCATCTTTTTTTTTCCAGACAGCAATGAAAAAAGAGCGAGCTGACGACCTCTGACCTGCCACAGCAGAAAATGTGGAATGTTTGGTGAGTCACAGAGGAACCGGGCGGGTGGATACAGTTTTGTTTTCTGGCGTAGAGTTGCTTTGGCTGACAGGTTGACCTTGTTGGCAGGATGGCTAACTGTCTGGTTAGCTGATGACAGAGCAGAAACAGGATTCAAATGGAACAATAGTCATGTTTCTTTAAAGGAATAGTTTGACACTTTTGGGAAATACACAAATTCTCTTTCCAGTCTAGAGTTCGATCGATACTGCTCTCATGCCTCTCTACAGCCAGCAGCCTGTTAGCTTAGCACCCTGAATGGAAACCCGGAAACAGCTAGCCCAGCTCTGTCTCCTCTAGCAGCTGCTGGCTTTTGCTACATATAGCATACAGACATGACAATGGTGTTGTGAGAGTGGTATCGATCTTCTCCTCTTACTTTTGGCAAGAGAGCGAATAAGCATATTTCTCAAAATGACAAGCTCCTCAGCCCGGGTTATCGTTTAGCTTATTAGCTGGTTAGCTGACAGATAGCTGCATTACATGTAAGATATGAGTATGCCAGTAACCATAACAGTAACATTGCACTGTGTATCCTAAGTCGTATTCAAATACTGAGATATGGGACCAGTTCCAGCCTGACTCTCTCTCCTGTTTGAGGCCAGGCAAGTCTGAGAGCCTCCTCAACTCTCCCACTGAGGCAGGACGTGTCCAAACAAGATAAATGCCTTAGCCAATGCAAAGACTATGGAAAAATGGAAAAGAAAAAGACTACAACGACACCATGGAAAACAGAGTCAAATTTCAAGTTGGACGCTTCAGAGAGGGGGAGGGTCACAGGAAAAACTATTCTTTCTCTGCTCATGTTTAAAAAGAGGGGAAAACCTCTCCAGCCAGTGCTACTTAATTAAAAGGCCGAAACGGACTCACTGGCCTATGAATCAGTTAACTGTGAGCTCCACATTTTTTAGAGGTGATCGTAATCAGGTGCCATATCTGAAAACTGACTGAGCAGCATGTGTCCTGATAGTAAACCACAGACTCTGACAGGCAACTTGGAGCTCAAGTTGTTGTTAAGCTAAAAAGACACCCAAGCCACTTCCACTATGCTGACTGCCTGACAATCACATTCCTCACTGAGAGCTGGAGCTAAATGGAATGTCTAACGCAGCACAAAGCTCCCGTCGTTCGGGACGAGGACCAAAGACGAGAGAAAGCGTTCTCTGAAAGGGTTGGGTCGGTTTGTGCTCTGTGCTTTTGGGACAATGGTATATGACTAAATAACTATGACCACTGTTAAAGCAAAAGCCTCCATGATTTGTCTTGATTACAGCAAAACAACGGTCTATATGTATTTTTATGTTGTGTGATAATGTATGCGAACCACATGGGGTTCATAGTTCAAAGCTGCATGTCATAAAACACTGACTTCCATGACTGAATGCTTTAAACTTCACTACTACTTTTCCTTCCTCAAAAGCTCTTTTCTTCTGTAAACATGCTCGGCCTTATTCAGTCTCTCTTGCATTTGTTCACACTCTTTTCCTAGCAGTGATCTCACAGCTACACTACTCAGAGGATGGAGTACTCCCATCCCCCAACACACAACACACGATGCACAACATTCAGCCAGTATGCTTTCAAGATAACAGAACATTGCCAGGTTTCGCCTTGAGTGGAAAACCATGAGGCACTTTTCCCGCAGTGCCAAACCCCTGAGCTGGCGAGGCATTACTGAATGAAAAACTCCCCCAGTAAGGTTTTAATGCCAGCAGTTGTACTCCGAGACTGCACTGCAGAGAGACTTGGCATCAACAAGCTGCTAAAGCATGATGGCTTTAACAGAACCTTTGAGGAGAACTTGTAAGTCCCTCGATGACTTACGAATTTGACTCTACCCAAAAACATTTTTACTCTGAGATACAGAGGTTTAAACTAAAGTGGGCTAGACTGTGAACAGGACATAACACCCTTCATGGGTGACAGATGCGGAATTGCAGTTACATTTCGTGCCAGTGCCTGTGGGCAAAACACTGTGGCTGCTAGGGGTGCAACATTACAGTCAGCTCATGGTTGAGATGCTGGTTTCAAATTACAGTGTGACAACAAAAATCCTTAATTCTTCCTCTTAGGTATAAAATGTGGAATCAGTGTTTTAAACTTGGTATTTGTATAATCCATATCCCTTAGAAACTTTAAATTTCCAATAAATCATTTACATGAAAAAATTTATGAAGCAGGCTATTTTTTTAAAAAGAAATGTTTACTAAAAACGCAAAATGAGGGTTTAAGTAGGACTATTTTCATTATCAAGTAATCTGTTTTTTCTCGATTCACCATTTCGTCTATGACATGTAAGAAAATGGTTAAACAGGACTGTTTAACAATTAAACAGTCCAAAACCCTAAATACATTCAGTTTATTATCATACTTCACACAGAAAAGCATCAAATCTTCATATCCGAGATGCTGGAATAAGGAAATGTTTGGCATCCAGGAAGGGTCAAATCAAGGGCAACTGGACTTGACTGAAGACACTAGAAGACGTTTCACCTGTCATCAAAGAGGCTTTTTCAGTTCTGAACAAATGTTTGCCATTTTGCTTGAAAAATTACTAAGATTATTAATTAAATAACTGTCTAAATGAGAACGTCCTCCCAACAATAAAGGGTATAAACCCTGTATAAAAGTTGCATTTTACAATGTGAATGCAAAGCCAGTACACTCCCATCTCCATGCTGCTCACGCCTGGTTTATGAGAATTGCTGAGAATCATTAGTCACTAAACAATGCATATCGTCATGTTTTTATGGCTACGATGCTTATTTACACTCAAGTGTAAGTGGATGACCATTTAATCTGGTCTATACTGTGACACGAGATACAGTTTGTGTCTGAAGCCCCCCTGACAGCTGATGTAGGAGTAGAGACAGAAGAAGGATGTCATATTCACCGTTAGGAGGTCATCACTCAGCACCTCTGTTTTCTCAGCCCTGTTGTGGGAAACACAAATATGAAGCCAAAAGGTTAAATACTGACAACAAATGGAGAAATGAAAATACAGACATAGAAAAACACGCCTTCAACATACAGAGATAAGACACAACATAACGAGATCTGAGGATATGAGTTAAGGGACACACCTTAACCACCTAATTTGAATCAAATGTATAAATAAATATGTATTTGGACATGTCTCACTCTTCTGTTATTGGTAGGGAAAATGTAGTACAGTGACACAATGTGGTGTGCTCTCTTTTGTTACTGACTACCAATTGTATTTGAAACTAAACAAGACCTAAACTGCTTTTAAAACCCAGCTGAACTGATAACCACACAGGACCATCAGACTAAAGCAGAAGAGTCTATCCAGCCCAACCTGTCGGCAGTGTGTGCCTGAGGCAAAGTTACAAAGTGTTAAACATGTTTAAAACCACAATGAAATGTTTCTACGTTACTGGGTACCACTTGTACACACGTGCTCAACATGTACGCTCAAATGAACATCCATCAACGCTCGTCCCTGTGACTGTTTTCGACGATGGACCTCTCGGATTCCTCCACTCTGTCCAAATACACACATACTGTTGTGTCATCTCCACCTTGTTTGTTATGGCAACACGGAGAGGAGGAGGTGTGTGCGTGTGTGTATCTGTGTGGAGTGGAGGAAGGTGTAGCAGAGTCTGCAGAAAATAGGATAGTGACACTCTGAAACTTCTAGGAAATGTTGATAAAATGCCCAAAATTCACACTCCTGTAGTCGTAATCTGGAAGAAGATTCCCCTCTTTACACGTGGCCTCAAGCTCTCATAGCAGGTTTCTACACATTTCAGTGTCAGAGACTTAATCTGCTTCTTGGTTTGAATCTTGCTGAGCTAGTGAGCCAAGCAAACGAGCTCATCACTCACCCTGACGATATCTGATACAAATACACCAACGCGTGCACATACTACATCCACACACACACACACACAAATCCCCGAAGACCTCTTCCTCTACCAGAGCAGGCCCACACTATAGATTCAAATCTCGCCGGGATCAATTAGCCCTCTTCCACACAAGAGTTATTACCTAATGCTGCTGTAAGTTACACCCTACAGACACAGGCTTTACCTCGCTAATGCCTGAAATATCCTCACAGTTTATCGTAAAACGCCTTTGGCTGCTCTCTGCTGACTCCAGCTCGTACCATAGAGTAGAAATCTTTAGTTCAATAGACAGTTTTTCTTTATATGGGATCAATGATTTGCTGTTTGGTACTCTATTACAGACAGAACATGAACTATTGTGATGATCAATTAAGATGTTTTTTAGGCAAGTTTAGGAAAAATCTACTGTTATAAGTATCTGAAGAAGAAAACGATAGATAGATAGATAGACTTGTTCAGCGAAGGTTCTACTGTTTGTGCTCAGACATCATTTAACATGGGTGAACTTTGGTTTCTTTCTATTTTGAGGAAAAACATGTTATATTTTGATATTGGTACCTAAAATTTAGGTACTGTTTCACAATCCACAGCCAGAATACCTACACACTCGTCCACATGATCGTATTACACATTAGGCTTCGCTGGCTCACCTCTGAAGGAGACAGCAACATGAGAAATCTTTAGATTCCTATCAATATTGAATTAGCATTGATTTGACTGGAGTACAGCTTGACTCTGGGCAGCAGCTTTTGTTCTAAGAATAGACTCCCACAATGATGGAGGCCAGACCCTGAAAGAAAACCTGAAGCAAAACAACACAGAAGGCTAGAAGAGTAACTGTGTGTTATGTAAATGGGTTTTTTGGTCACTAAGCCGGTAAGATTTTGCATTAATGTATTATGTGACTGAGATTCATGAACACTGCTACCCTGCAAGCTTGTACCGCACAATGCACTAAAATCAAATTGTTCTTCCTCCCTAATAATCACATACAAATCAAACCAACTTCCTCTTTTATAAAAACACTGCTTTGTGGCTGCGTAACGTCCCCAGCCCCCTCCACTGTGTACCCGACAACAACCACAGAAATGCTTACGCCACAAAAACCCTCCATGCCCGGCCCTTCCTGTGCCAAACAAAGAACGACATCATCACAAACTGTCACTGGGGGGGGGGATTATGATCAATTGATGGACCTGCACCTTTATGATGATGTAACTTCATAACCTTTCCTCAATTTGTTTCATCAAACTAAAGTAGTCCTGAAATGATTACTTGATTAATTAAGTAGCTGATCGGATAAAACATAATTGGCAACTATTTTGTTAAGCGATTCATTGTTTTAGTCATTTATCAAGCAAAAGTAGTGAAAAAAACTATTTCTGATGGGATGATTTGCTGCTTGTCTTTGGGTTTTGGACTTTTGGTCAGACAAAACAAGACGTTCAAAGACGTCACTTGGTGCTCTGGAATAAAAAAAAAAAATCCAATAAAATTGGAAACTGATACTCCGATTAATTTAACATACACTGATTTGACCTTAGTGTTTACGGACTGCACAGTAAGCCAACTTTTCATTAAACACAATGCTGCTACTCTCAACTATTTATTCATATATTCAACATTAGGGGTGGGGGAAAAAAAATAAAATCGATACAGCATAGTATCGTGATATTTGCCATGGCAATACTGTATCGATACACGGACGCCAAGTATCGATATTTTATTATATAAATTGCAGATGGGAGTTTTAACTTTTTGGTACTAGAATAATAAAATCTATTGCTTTTTTAGTCCACTAGAAAACTTAACAGGACTATACAGAGGACTGAAAAAGTGATATGAACAAACAGAGAAATGTATCTTTTTAGATAAACAGATGTTGACAAAGTTTGACTTTAGGGACCTAATTGGAAGTTGGAAAAAGGTAATAATTGCAATATATCTCAATATATTTAAAATCGCAATAAAATCGAATCGCAACATAAATATCGTGATAATATCGTATCGTGGGGCCTCTGGTGATTCCCACCCCTATCACAATCCACTTTGTTCCAGTCATGCAGTGGCACAAATGGCACCAAAGCATTTCCTGGCATGTTAAACTATGTCCAGCAGGAATCCACAGTGGGCGTGTGCTTGCAAACACATCTGCCTCTAAATAAGCAAGCTGTCACTCTGTCCAGTTGAGTTTTACTGCTCTTACACAACATATGGAGATATGTATGCGAGTATGTGAATCCAGTGGCCACAGTCTATTGGTTGGAAAGTCATATTGAGAAAACATTATGGGAGACACTATTATTGCAAGAAAACCTGGAGTTGCTGCTGATAGAGAAGAGGGCTGGTTCTCTGGAAACCCCTCTGGGGATGGAGTTGAAGGCAGAGGAGGGAGGAGATGGTATAGATACTGTGTGTGTATAAACTAACAGCTAGTATCACAACACATCAGGAAATACATGTTTGTGTACAGTTCCTGGCCTACAACTGCAGAAAATAAAATGGAAAACATGATCTTCCACCTCTAAGCACAATAGGCAGGACAGACGTGAAAGGGGTTCTGTGTGCCCAGAAATATGCTTTCAGGTAAACCAAGACATTAATAAATCTAATTAGAGCTCAAACAATAAGTCAAATAATCAATTAGTCAACTGGAAAATGACTAGGCCACTATTTTCATAGTCAATTAGTCTTTTTTGTTATTCCCTCAAGTGAAAATGCCAAATATTTGCTGGTACTAGAAGATGAAATCGTGAGAATGTGCGGATCTTCTCAGTTTTAAATAATTTTAAAATGACTCTCTTTGGGTTTTAGACTGCTGTTCAGACAAAACAAGTCATTTGGGCTGGCACAACCTGTCATGTCGGTTTTTTTCTTAAAGAATGCCATAGGCTATACTACCTTTGCAAAAACTTGTTCTAAAAAAACTTAAATGTCTTCTTGAAATCACAGAACTGCAAGTGAGTGCTTTGCAAATACTTCATAAACTACCCAGGTATTTATTACGCAGACGCAGCCAAGCCCTTCCGACAGATCACAATGAAAGAGAGGGCAACACTGAGGATTGATAAATTTATGAAGAGCAACAACAGAGACAGAAGAGACTAACTGCATGTTGCTAAGACACTCACCTCCCAACAGTCTGGTTGGCGAGTTGTTTCATGCGATTAAACTGTTTCTTCATGTTTTTTTTTTATCCTCCTCGGCGTCTCCTGCGAGTCTGTAAAAGTTAGCGGCGCCTCAGAGCGCTTTCGTTCATCCACCGTGGATCAAAAAGTTGCGCTACGTCGCAGCCATAGTGGCAGATTAAACTCGGTGACATTGGCCGTCGCTGTTAAACGTCAGAAAGCAAAATGTCAGTTGAAACAGGCCCCGACGAGGGTCCGGATCCTCATTGCCACGAATGTCAGATTCCCGATCAAACTGACTGCTTTATGTGCAACCAGTGTGGTAAGAAGAAGGAAGTGCTTTTACTTCCCTACTGTAGCTGCACGGCCCACTGGTGACATGTGATACCTTAGCAAGCAAGCAAAAAAAGAAAAAGCATTGACTCAGCTATTGGCTTGTCATGGTCATGGCACAGTCACACAGGCCTATGCTGTAGTTGACTATAGAAAGTAGTTTTATTTATAGAAAATCTTTTAGCCTATAGCGTTCAGTGATTTAAAGTAGGTTTTCACGTGCAAGGAATTGGTATTTTGGTGCATAACGGTCACAATTAACACAGTCAGGGAAAGAAAATCAGCAAAAGTCAAGAAACTGCTAAGCTTATAAGGCAAATTGGAGAAACTTCACAAAAACTAAAATTATACCGACTACACTAAAAAAAGTCAATCTGGCTGCCAAAAACAGATAATTGACTCCACTGATCCAGGATCAGTCTCAGTGAATTCATAGTTGGTTAAATGTCTCCAGGGAATGTGTTTTAAACCCTGGAGCAGCACTCTGGCGTTCAGAGTGATCTGCTGCCACCTTGTGGCTGCTGCTCTGTCATGACAAGGGCCCCCTCTGAAGATCAATCGTTGGTTCATTTCTGTCTTATGTTAACAGAACACTATAATGAATCTTAATATCAGAAGAAAACAAACCTATTTTTTCAGTTATCCCTAGTAGTAACTGAACATACAGATCTTTTTGGTTCTGTCTGCTGAGATTTTATCATATCCACCTCTGAGATTTGTTCCGCCACCCAAATACAATGGTGGTGAATATAATTTTCGGTCTTCCTACATTGCAGGAACCTCAGAGTTGTTGTTGTTGTTCATGATATTCATGCTCATAATGGCTGTAATCCATCATGCCTTTTCAAACAAAGAGCACACCTCTGCCTTATCTGTCCTATGTAGCCTATTATTAGGGCCAATGTGTAGATTGCAAAGGCATTCCTATCTGAGCAGCAGCAATGTCAGGGGACCTATGAACTCTTTTTGTCCCTGTTTTTCTGGGAATCTACTCCTCGTTAAACTATCATACTTCTCTTTGACATTAGCACACCTCTGCTTTCGACGTCTTGTCACAAAATACAGCTTAGAATTGTGAAAGTGTTTGAGGTCTGCATGTTTCCAAAATCAGCAGTACATTTGATATTACAAATTGCCCACACACTGACAGAAGTAGCAGGAGGGCCTCTGAAATTGCAAAAAGAATCCATTTAGTCCACGTGCAAAAGTGATGCTGGCGTGCTGACCTTCACCAAAACGTTTTTGTGAGATTTTTTTACATTGTCGTCTTTGCACATAGAATAAACTGATTCTTTTGTATCTTAAGAGCATGTTCTACTTTTTCTGTTAGTGTGCGGGCAATTCATCTATTAAGCATACACACTTTTGTATTCTCATGAGCTTGGTTATATACCAGCACTTGTCACCTGGTGTGATCCAAAGCTCTGGCAATTCAGTGTGCTTGTTTTATTTGTTGCTTGTCTTTAACAATGGCTCTATTACATTTGAATGTTAAAGTCACATTCTGACTCCAAATTGGAAAATATCAGGGCAGCGCTCATCGACCCAAAGGATCTTCAGGATCTCATCTCTCACCATCATACAATTATACATTTTAACTTAAGTCAAAGACTTTGTTCTTGGGTAAAATGTTATGTAATTAACAAACTATCCAAATTATCTATATTAATAAGAAAAAGAGTAATTGAGTTTATGACATGGGAGTGGAGCAAGTCCACCAGACTCTAACCTTACACACCAAAGTCTGTGTGATTAACAGGCAGAGAGATATGTGTATGCACACATTAGGGCAGCGCACTCAGTGTTACATCCTCGGCTTTGACCACCAGACATCAAGGAAGACTCATGGCTGGCGAGGAGATGGAGATGGCTGAAGTTGGGACGTCTCTTGTGTCTTCAGAGCCCAAGCTGCCACCAGCCAGACCTCGGAACAAATTTGAAATTTTATTTCAGCCCTGTCTGGGCGAGCTGCTGGGAACTACGTTCTTTGTGTTTATCGGGTGTGTGTCGGTCATAGAGAATGTGGAGTCCGCCGGGAGGCTTCAGCCAGCTCTGGTGCACGGCCTGGCCGTGGCTGCCCTGGTGGCTTGCATGGATAAGATCAGGTGAGGGTCAACTTCAGTGTTTTGTTTATAAAACAAATAGTTTATACACATTGTACATATTTGTTGTGCTGTACAAAATGCAGCACACGATACGTCTAATTTTTTCTGGTGACTTTACTCATCTGTGCAACTGAAAATTCATTATTCTTTCACATGCTTTAGACAAAGAGCCATCTGAACAAATCAGTCCTGACTACCCATACCGTTATTCATTTAATCTGTGTTAAACTGCTTAATTTTATATAAATGTTTTATATAAAAGTTCTCTCCCTCTTCTCACCTCTCCAGTGGTTCCCATTTCAACCCCCCGTTCACTCTGGCCATCTATCTATGTGGAGGGATGGAGTTGAGGATGGTGGCCCCATACATTGTATGTCAGTTGGTTGGAGGGGTGCTTGGAGCCGCTATGGCAAAGGTGAACCTGTCTCAGTTTTGTGTCATTAAAATATCCACTCTCCTCTATGTACATAAAAATGAGACCTCTTTCCAGCTTAATTACGTCTGAATTGATGCCAACAGGCAATGACCTCAAGAGAGAACTTCGCCAAAGCCCACGGGGCTGCGTTTGCTCTGCTGCAGCCCGACAGTGAAATAGGAGGCGCTGTGTTTGGAGAGGTCGCCATGACCTGCCTGGTCACCATGGTGGTGCTGTTGGGGGCTGTCAATGCCAAGACCAGAAGCCCCCTGGTGCCATTTACGGTGAGCTGCGCTGTTATCATCAGTATCTTGGCCGGGTGAGTAAAAAGTTCATTTTTACAATAACGTTCTGTTTTGGAAGAATGAGTGCCATTTTGTAGTAGAAGTCTTTATGTGTATGACTTGTCCAAGTGAAAGATTTTTTTTAAATATGACATCTTCTTTACATTTATATAGCTACAGTACATCTCACATATGACCATGGGATCTCATGTTTACAGCAGCGATTCATTTGAATATCTCGTACCTGTTTGTTTTGTCAGTGGAGACATATCTGGCACCTGTCTGAACCCAGCCAGAGCCTTCGGTCCAGCCATAGTGAGCAACTACTGGATCCATCACTGGGTCTACTGGGTGGGACCCATCGCAGGAAGCCTAATAGCGGCTGCACTGGTTCGGTAGGTGCAACACAAATTGTACGCTTTATACTTTAAAGGATCATTAAGTGTAAAGGATCCATATTTTTGATTGATGCATTGATAATAAAGATTTATCACTGACTGAACTAATTGTTTTCCTGTTTTTGCAGACTCCTGCTTGGAGACAGGAAGACTCGAGTCATTATGACTTGAGGTCCTGTGTACATGAACTTAAGTGGGATGAATCATGAGATAATCCCCTAATTTTGTTCCACTGACTACAAATTGAAATGTACGTTTGTTTGTTTTTTGTGTGTGTAATATGTTGGAGTTTGGAGAAAAAGCCTGTAAGCTTGTGCAGGATGTAATTATGCTTATCTAAATGGTTGATTTAATATGACACTGGTCCTGCCACACTGCTGTGGGTAAAGTTAAACAGAGTTGTAGATAATTAGTAAACTGAGTTAACTTGTCTTTCTAGTTCAGAGAAATAAATTCTGGTTTTGTCATTGTAATGCCTCAACGCTCTGCTTTATTTACAACCACAAGGACATAAGAAAATCTTGTTTTCAGCCAGGTGCATGAGAGGTATGTAAGTCAAGACAATTATATGTACAACTTTATAGAAAAAAATCTCTAACTCATTACCTTTTGAATTAAGACAAACATTTAAAAAAAAAAAAGCTTGGGCCAAAATTCAATTACTTCACATTTTCAACCACAAATGCTGCCCACTGTTAAAAGAGACCAAATGGCAATCTTTTCAAAGCCAAGAGACATCTCTGCTTCAGCTTTGTGCGCCTGGTACCCTGTCCCTGGTCTCTATAGCCCGAGTAGTGAATGCCTGTTCGACACTGGAGGGTGTCGTGCTGTTTCCATATTGTACCCCTGGGCCTCCCCACAGCAGTGGCCCACATGGGAAAGCAGGCCAGGCGGTGGGATAAACCAATTACCCCCCAGTCTGGGTGGACTCCTGCCGGCACACCACGCAACAGCTCTGGGCCGAGCCCTCCTGGGCTGGTTTCCCTTGAGAGCCTGCTGGAATTCCCAGAGATGAGAATTGTGTGTTCTCAAAAGCCTGCAGAGAGGCTATATTTTGCTTGGAAATTTGACATGGTGGCCCCCTGAGACAATACTGAGGGAGGAGACTTCAAACTGGGCTTCTGTAGGATGGAAAAAGCTTGTGGAAAGCATGATTTTTGGGTACCATTAATCAAAATAAGCTGGTTTAGCTCCCTTTAACCATGTCTTACATACATATACACCTCTGGCTACACACAGAAAAAGTTTTTCATATTACCGCTGATTTGTGAATATTTAATATATTGCAGGTTTTATCACCCCACACTTTGCGTTTTATATTTCTTAACTGTATTTTATCCCCCGGTGTTTTATTTGCTTTGTGTTGTTTTAATTAGTTTTTTATTTTATCAGTTTTTTTGTCTGTAAAGCATTTTGCAACTTTGTTAAGAAAATAGTTACCTAAATCTAGATAAATTCAAAGTTCAAAGTATGTTGAGAGTATTGGACACATCTTAAATGTATGGGGTGCTTTTAACTGAAACTGAAAGACACGAACTGCATACAAAGAGGAGGATTAGAGAGAAACATGAAAGATATAACGAAAATATAGAGAAGAAATACATGAGACAACAAAAATGTGGACTGAGTGAGAGTAAAAGGCATTCAGGGACACAGCTTCTTGGATTCATGAGCCCTGATGGTTTCTAGATGACAGCAGCCGTGACAATGGTCATTATGTCTGCCTGAAGCCTTGTCACTGCAGGGCTATTGTGTGGGCCCCATTCAACACACAGTCATTTACACTTTCATTGGCAGCTATTTAGTCCTCATAAAAAGTTCAACACACCAATTTGTGAGCGCTGCTCAGCCAAGGAGAAGTGTGGAATAGGCTAAGAAAGCAGTTGCTTTAAAAGTCAATTAATTGTTCCCCTCTTCTGGGAGGGGCCGAGGGGGAGGACCCCAGGCTTTGGGGCCTCACATCTGTCCATTTGTCTTCTAGGGCTGTGATGCAGGGGCCACACAACTCAAAAGAAATGTACAATTCAGTCTGCCCAGAGCTCTGGCCATACAAGGAGATTTTTATTTCATTTTATGGTAGGGCTTTCCTATTATAATAAGAATCTGACTACAGGGGGAAAAATGGGATGCAGAAGGAAAAGGGCCTAGATAAACTTGTAGGGCACTTCAGAATTAAATCCATTTCTCCTGAAAACGCATAAATTATACAGCATATGATTGGAAATGGGGGTGTTAGTTCATTTAAGCCTTTAGCACAGAGTCTTAAGGAGCCAGGGCGTACTTGTGAACTAGCGGACCTCATGAAATTTTATGCACTGTTCATGAGCTGTGTTCACTTCATCAGACCCACAGCTGTATCAACTGAGTAGATTCTCTGTTCAAAAAATCAGCAAATTACATTTTCACAAACACAACATGAATTGTAGATTTGTCTCTAATAAAAAAAAAAATACTGATCACTGTGCTGTATGCCACATATCCACATATCAAAGGTTCATTTTTGTACTGTTTATTAAAATATTCAAGATGAAAGGGTAAATCAAAATTGGAAAACATTTGTTTGATGCAAATGTTTTACATTAAAATATTTAAATATCCAGTCTTGCTGACGAAAAACATTCTAAATCAAGTTAAGCTTTTAACAAACGTTTCAAGATTTCATGAAGTCTCTGATTTAAAATTGGAAAATGTTCGCAGAAGTAATTGCATCGGCATGAAAACTGATAAGTTTCCTCATTTTAAAACCGAAGAAACAGCCTTTTATCCCCTGAATTAAACAATGTAGCAAATCATCATTTAATTAAATGGCAAAAGTTGTGATCACTGGTACAGTACTAGTATTTATTTATTTAATCTTTTTTGGTATCTATTTTGCATCATAACAATCCTGATGCAAAAACATTTAATTCAAAGGTGATCATACAACAGACAAAGCAAAGAGGTTTTGAAGCTTTAGCACAGAGGAGTCTGAATAAAAATAACAATCATATATGTACAAGTCTATTCCCTGGGACTAGCTGTTAATTAGAAATGGCCATGCTCCAGTCTTCCCTCCCACCTCAGTTCAAAGGGCAATTGTCACACAGAGCCAGCAAAGTGAGCGACGGTTGATGTGGAGAGAAGCACAAAGAGATCAGCAATCCAACCCCTTCTTCGTCTCCCAGGACGGAGGGCAGTGATGGGAGAGAGACAAAGGCAGGCCCTCTCTGAGCCTCAATTCAGGAGGCCCTGCTGTTGGCCCCTGCTCTGCTCCTCCAAATGTGTCTTTTTTTTTTACCAGCAATTCAACAGCTTTGTCCCTGCTGGTGGTGCTGGATGCCAGCTTGCCAGCGCAGGGGTGAGGATGCCTGTGGATAAAGGCTGGTAGGGCTCAGAAGTGCTAACACAACACACTTCCTCAGTCTAACGGGAAGTCACAGGAATTCCGATGTGCCGCCCAGGCGGCCTGGTAGACAGACAGGAAGTCTTTGTATCGTGGGGCACACCCTAACCAAGCTTCCCCGAAGTGTTCTGACCCCGTGAAGAGAAACTCTCCGTCCCCAGGCTTCACATGGCACTGCAGGAGTGTGCGGATGCGTCCACGCCAAGACGGGAAGGGCCGAGGTGACCCAGTAACAGCCACTTGCTCAAACACCCCACTGCGCTGCCAGTACACCCTCACTGCTGACACCTCCACCAACGAGGTCTGACGCTCAGAGTCATGGGAGACATTCCTGATGGAGCCTCGGACCACTGAAAACACAAAGAGCAGAACCATGTCTTTACCCTACATGCATTAGGCAATTCAAAATAGAGCTTATTTCTTGCTATGACCTACGACACTGAATCATATTTTATAATGATCATTTTAGGTTTTGTAAATATGTCCAGACGAACTGTAATAAGTGTAGCTGTGAAATAGTAAAAACTGCAATATTCTTTACACTAGTTAACTAAATGTAGAGGAGTATAAAGTTGGATACAATGAAAAAAAATTTAATACAATACAATGAAAAAAAATTTAATACAAGTACATCCATTTTTATCCTATGTACAATACTTAAATGTACTAAATTTCTTTCAACAACTGCGATTTATTGCACATTTCTGCCTGTTTTGATGCAACTATTGCTTCACATTTCACTCTCATTTGGAAACATTTATGTCCAGGGCCTTTTATGCCCTTTTACATCCACCATTTATCTCACAATGGTTGCTCAGACCAAATCTCATTCATATTCTGCTGCAGTTTTTTTTACACTTCATCTACTACCTGACATTGCATTGTTTTATGGCTCAGATATATCATAGGAGGAATTTCTTGGTGCTCTGTCAATGTGTTTAAATAGTACAGTAAGTAACTGATCCATATAACTAATACATATTACATATAAATACCCACCAAAGTCACTGTTGCAAATGGCCATGAGGAGTTCTGTGTCATTGCAGGGTCGGCATGAAGCTGTGAGTAGAGGAAATCAGTACAGAAAATGAGACATGACATTTAAGATGATGAAAACCTGCATCCAGTGAAATTTTCTAATTTTCCCATTTTTCTCTGCAACCCCCCTCTCCCAAGCCATGCATGACACAAAGCTCTGTGACACTGATTGATAGATGGGTGCCATTTCTCCTCCCTACCACTCCACTGACCTAAAATCTGACACACATACCGGCTCCAGTCATCTCCCTCCTCACTTCACAGAGAGAAGAAACCAGGGGTTGGATGAAGGAATGCTGCTCCTTTCTGCCCCACCACACTGCCTCCAGATAAAAAATCCCTTACTAGGCCTGACCCCATCTTTGACTCCTATTGTATCTACCTAATTGAATGACTTCCATGCCAATGCAGGAGACTGCAGGAGTCAAATGCTTCTGCCAGACTGGCAATGCAGAAAAGATCAAACCAGTAGCTGTCTATTATGGACACAGGGTGACATCACCACATTGGGACAGGCCCGCACACATGGATAAATGCTAATAAACAGACATGCACAATGAAAAGGCATTTCAGGAATCTGCAAAGTATTTGCAGTCTCAATTCAGGTCCCTTGGCCTGGTGCCCTTCAGTCGCCCTGTGGTCTGCTCTATCCTCGCTGCTTTGTCCCCCCGATGGAAACCAGACAGCCAGACAAAACACAAGACTGACCAGCAGCTGCATGCTCAAGTCATGATTGGTCTGTAACTGCTGTTTTTTCCAGGACAAAAGGACTGGTTGGCCCGCAATGCATGGCTTTAAATTTATAGTATAATCAGTTATAAACCATAAATAAGAGCGTATTTTAGGTTGCCAAGTTGTGAAAATCCCTTATGTTGATGTGTAGGCCTATCCTCTCTATTTGTTAATAATATATTAATTAATACTTAATATGTCATTAATAAATGGATTTTGGCCATCCTCTGCAGCCCTTCTCCAGAAGTGGTCATGCAGTCCCATCACTGAAAGGGATTTTTCACAACCTTGCACCCCAAAAGTTGTCGTAATAATAATAATGGCTAATAACTGATTTATAAATCTTAAATTAATGATTTATGAACTATTAATAATGCCATTTATTACAGCTTATAGTCTACTAATTTGCTTTGTCGGAGTGGTACAACATGTAGGACTATTGATGCATCTATTTAGGACATTATAATTTGAGAGGATCTGCTCACTCTGAAGCCCGCTGTGGCCCAGGTTGGGTGCAGCACTCCGGTTGCCCAGCAGCTCATATAAGAAGCCCATCGTGCGCCTGTTCCAGGGTCCATCACTCTGCGGGCTGGACTGGAGGTAGATGGCGGGCCTGTGCGGACCATCTGTCCGGAAACAGAACACCTGCTGCTCGTGCAGCCCGCCGTCAGTCACCAGGAGCTCAAGCTCCCCGGCCCGTTCAATGAACACGCTGGCTCCGTGGAAAGAGGGAGACGGTTTGATGCAGACGGTGGTGTGCCGTGTGGTGGACAGGTTGGGCTCCAGGACCACCCGGAGCGCTTGGCCTGGGTATATCCACCTCACCGAGCCCTCTGTACAGCGCAGCCGCACCTGGATTACGATCCTGGAATCCACAGCAGCTGCAAAACCGCTGGATCCAGTGAGAAAACAGAGGCATTAATAATTCAACCATGTTAGAGGTTTCCATGTGTCGATGTGTAGCCTCTATATGTATGAGATGGATTACATTGTACATACACACTTAATGGGTTTACCAGTGGTTAATAAATCATTTACTAGTGCTTCATAGAGCAGGGCACACACATTTTGGGTTGTCAGGTTGTAAAAGACCCCATTAGCTGGTGTTTATCCTTTTCAGTTGGTAATAGTTTTAAATGTTAATATTTCATTAGTAAATGTTCATATGTTAACAGCACCAACCCTGCAGTATTTAATGTTAATAGGTTAATAATAATAATAATTTTATCATCAAGAGCTCATTTCTTGAAATAAGTGGTCAAACGAATCAAATTAAGTTTTCACAACACCTAGTAAGCAGAGATATAAATAGGCTAGTTACATGATTTCTTAACATTAGGCAAGCCATCACAATAGTTTGGCTGGTTGCCCCTCAAACTGTTGTATAAATGTCCCTGTTTAAATTGCAACAATCCTGCAGAAATCAAGTTCCTCACCTTCCAGTCCAGTTGCACAGATCAGCCGCGCAGTGTCGCGACTGAAGTCCCAACACGTACAATAAAATAATCACATTTGGCAACATTTCACCCACACAACGATAAAAAGAAAGAAAGAAGTTGACAGCGGTGCATGGCTAAAGTTTGTCTGTGAGTTTTCGAGAGTGAAAGCGCTCTGCTGCACCGCGCTGATTGAGCTTCACTAAAATACTCTCTCTCTCTCTCTCTCTCTCTCTCTCTCTCTCTCTCTCTCTCTCTCTCGTTAGGACTGATCCAGTTGTTGGGGGCTGCAGGTTTTGCCCTCAACAGTTTGAAAAGCCTTCAGCCATCTGCGAAAACAATTCCTTCACTTCCAGATGCTGTCCGAGATTTGTTATAGCCTACTTTAGTTCTATCATAGACTACATTTTCCTCTGCATGAAAATAGCAAAACTGACATACAAAAATTAAGTAAAAATAATAGAATTCAGTCTAATTTGACCAAATCTCCTCCACAAGTGCACACATCAAGTCCAACTTGATATCACTGACTGTTATAAAATCATCTTTACGCCAAGGTCATTTCAAAAGTAGGCAAACTGAAAAAAATGAAGGGGAAAGGCTACAGAAGAGTCTGTGTTTCTGTGCGTGAGCTTCATCTAGTGGCGGGATGATGCACCGCACAAACCCCCCCACATCTGGAGGACAAACTACAGTCTTCCCGCTGGCTTTCACGGCTTAGAGAGACAGACATCAGGGAGAGGCTGTAACTCACCAGCCGCTCATATTGAACACGAGTTCAAATTGGAACCAGCTTTCACCAATGATTAATCCACCACGGATGAGCAGTTTCACTTTATGTTTTAACCTGCAGGGTCTTTGTGCAAAAAAAATTATTTGGCACCCTTTCAAGGTCTCGCTGGTGGCGACATCTTGTGGAGGTGAAACTCCGTGGAGCGTAAGAGCTGAAGGCTGCAGCTTCTCTCCAGGTTTGGTTTATATACGTAGGCCCTCAGGCTGCATCACATCAAAGTGTTTTTGATGAGCATGTCGTTGAGTAAATTACACTCATGTGGAGAAGTTGGCCAGATGTTGTCTCAGCTGCAGGAAAAGCCTTTGCTGCTCAAGTCACTAAATCTTGAAGTTTGGGATCTAATCTCATGTCAGCACATCTGAAAATACACGCAGATTCACAAAACATTTGAGGATTTGAGGCTGTGATGACTGACAATATGATATATTTCAGGCATTGCAACAATGAGTTTAATGAGTTTGGCTCAAAATGCATTTGTAGAAATTTTTTCTTGACCTTCAGTTTCCATTAAACTACAACCCCAGCCAAAGTCAGTCAAATTAGCCTGTACGCAGCTTGACATTACAGTGGTCTGAGCCGTCTCACTTTTAAAACGATCACTGATGAGCCAGAAACCAGACGGAGTTTCTTCACAGGAATACCGGATGGTCAGATTGGGTCATGTGTCCCGGAGAGACAAAGCAAAGTCAAATGAATGGAGGCTTTGTGCCTGAAAGAAGTGGCCTCTTTATTGGCGCAGTGCAGCACTGGATCCTTCAATATATAGCCTACTGTAGGCCTAATGGATCAAGGTGATACAAAGTGCGTGCTGTCAAAATTAGGCTATGTCACTGATGGGAAAAGAAATCTACACGATCTTATACAAAAGTCGACCTTTAAAAATGACAGTTTAACGCATTAAAAAAAGGAAAATATATATTATTATATATTATATACCTCCGTTCTCTCAACTCGACACGGGGCCACCCTGCAGTCTCCATGTTGTGTCCATGCAGCAGTCAAACGGTTCCCTGATGCCACTCAGTTGTCCTGTTAAATCATTTACAGTGAAATTAAAACTGCTCTCTTCTGACTCGCTGTCAGCTTTAAGGCCTAACTTGCCCCCTGAAGTCTTTCGGTCTGTAATGTGTCCACGTACAACAAATTATGGCGATAATGAAGAGAATGGTATTAATGATGAGACAGGAATAATATGATTTTACGTTTTAATTGGTATTTATGCCCACCAAAGCTCCACAGTTCTAAGATATATACTCACTCTCATGAGATTTGGTTCACATGCTTTTTAATTGCTACTTCCAAAAAAGACAGACCAAATAAACGTAAACGCAAATTAATTGCGGGATTTCTTCCACTTGAGATCAGGCCCTCCTTGTCTGAACCGGTGGGGTCAAAGAAACAATGCGTTATGTATTTCAGTTGTAGTGTGACAAGAATAGCCTATTTTTAAATGAATACAAATTAATTTTATTTAATTTTTTGCATGCGTTTGTCCACAAATCGCTGTTAGAATGATACATACAAACAAAAATTTGCTCAGTGGGAATTATCAGCTACATGATATGTGCATGACCCGTGCACATGACAGTAAAGTCTTCACAAAATACCATACTCAGCCGTATCATGAGACATTTTTAGATTAGGACGAAAGAATAATTTCTTTAGGTCTTTTAAATATGTTAAATATGAGTCCTGCAATCCTGCAATCAAATATCAACTCTATGGCAAGTGGAAGTTTGATTATTTGGCAACACCCTGCTGCCTACAAACATTCTTAATAGCCTACTATAGTTTGGGAAATATATATACATATATTTTTTACCATACATTCCACAATATATATATATATATACAGACATGACTGAACACCTGAAGACTGAAGACATGACTGACGTGGCTGAACAGTTTCTGGTGAAACCAAAAGACAAAATTAACCTTTATGGATGTGGATAATCTTGACAAGATGAAAGCAGTCACATTGGGTGCAACAACCGCAACAAAACACCCCTTAAACTCACAAAGTCACTTTCCTTTTTTAATTTTCTCAGCAGCGTATTAAATATATGTATGTACACGTTTGAATGTTACATAGAAAAATATAATATTACAGTAGGCCTGTTAGTAGCTTGTTAAACATACATTAGCCTAGTCTGGCCAAAGCGCATCTACTCATCTTTTCTCTCGGAAAAAGCCTTTGTCTGTGCTGCTCTCTCTCACGGTGACTGTCAAGAAGTTCATGGTGACGTCTGTCACAGTCACAGAGTCCACGTTGGTGAAACAGGGGGTCCAGGACGAGGATGGTCGCGTGGATGAATCTTGGATGGACTCGGACTGTGTCGACATGACAGCAGGTTGTCCCCGGGGCAGAAAGCACTCCTTCGCCTGATGCTGGTGTTCTGCAGACATCTTCGTCTTTCTGGGCTGAGGAATAGACATCCTGGTCACACAACTAGTCCTATGTGCCCCCTGATCACGCACATCTGGACTGAATGCGCAGCTGTAAGACAACCCAGCGTGTCTGTGCTCGCTGCTGGATTTGGGTGTTATCGTGGTCTTCTCCTGAAACCTCTTGGTCAACTGGACAAGGCTGTGATCTGACGTCTCTCCGTGATGATGCAAGCGTCGGGGCATTTTGGACAAACCGTGAGACCCCGGCTGCTCCAGTAGCCTGCTCCGTTTGGGGTCCGGCTCCGCTGAGCTGCCTCTGTCATCTTCATTATAATGTAAATGCAGCTTCGGTTTGCGCCCTCTTTTTTGGGGGACCCGGGCGGATTCTTGGACTGACAGATCAGCTGGTGGAGTCGGTCTGGGCCTCCTCTCTGGCTCCGGTGGTCGGATGTGGACACTCTCGCCCCTGTTGACGGCGCTCGGTGGGAAGATTGTGGGAACCACGGCGCGTAGACCCTCCCGGGCCCTCGGTGTTATGACAGGCTCCGGGACTGGATAGGAAACCTGGATCCCTCTGGGAGCCTCTCTTCTAAAATCACATGTCTTTTCCTTGGCTTTGGCCTGAGTACAGAGAAAACAAGATTTACGAGAAGTTTCCCAGAGATGGAAATTGGAAGTCTCCTGAGAAAACTTAAAGGTTTAAGAAGCAGCTGGAGGTCTGTTTGGTTACACTGAACTTTCAAGGCCTCGTCCTGATGCTGGTCTGTTTTTAAGGAATGCATGTCAGACATAAAACATATAAAGTGTATTGAGGATGCTTAAAAGTATAATGTACCCAACTTAACCGCATGCTCACGGGGGTAAATTCAAGATTCTATTTTGGGTTGCAATTTTCATTCCACTAGTTTGAATGACAAGTGTGTCAAGTAGCCTAAGTCTGAATGACAACACCGTTTCAAAATGAATAAGGCCGTAGGCCTATCTGTCATATCACGGAAATGATTCATCAGTTGTAGCCTACCGCCTCATAAAGGTGAGAAAAGATTAAATGAAACGACGAGAAGTGTGCTTCCAAAGATTCACCCACCTTCAAGAGAAATGTCTCGGGTTTGGGACCCCTCTTTTTCGGCCCAAACAGCTCCCTTTCGCGCTCCCTGTTGAATAAAAAAAAATCATCAAATGATTCATCATAACGCATTTACAAATACATATTTTTTATTCAGTCCATAATTAATTCGGAAAGTTGCATTTCGAATTAAGGTCCAAACATTGCCAATGGAGTGAGATTCCCCAGTTTTTAAGACAGTTTTTATTAAAAATAAATGGAATTAAAATGGGAAATGTGTCAGAATTAAGCAGACAACCTGTTTGAGGTTGGAAAAAATGACATCATACCTTGCAACTATTTGAACTGGAAATGGAGTCATCTCGCTCCACCGACGCTTATTATCGCTTCCATTACGAAAAATAACATTTTATGAATCAAATCTACACTAAACGTCTTGTTTATAAGGATGTATTTTGTGGCACGGAATGCGCCGTGCCGTCTCGTTTGTGCAGAGAGGCCTACTGCTGTGCTGTCAAAGCCTCACCTCTCCTCGAAGGCAGCGAAGAGACGTGCATCCAGGATGTTTTCCTCCGGCTCCCAAGTGCTGTACCTATATCGCCACAGCCAAGAGGAGAGGTGTTTGTTACCATTCATTGAGCGGATCAAGTGTCACGCAACACTTTTATCAAAGCAATCTTGCTGCGTGCGCTGCAATTACAGACTACGTAGCGGGCAGTGGTGCGTGGTGAACCCAGCCATTGCTAAAGCTAGTGTGGACTTCATCCCAGCGGGCTGGGACTCGGACATTTACAACCCCTGACTGGAGCACACAAGCCCCCATACACACAGCAAACTGCACCATAGCACACGGAGCAGATGATATGATAAAAACATCAACAAGCTGAGTAACGACAAGAGTCTGAGGTGGTGCAGTTGTACGGAGCGACCAGGATGGAGCGCTGTCCTTCACAGCCTCGGCTATTATACTCACTTCTGAGACCAACCCTTCCATTTCACGAGATATTCCCAGCGACCCTGCAAAACAGACCCGTAATACATTCAGGTTATCAGAGGATCGCCTGTCGGCGCTGCACAAACAAATGGTTGCGTAATAGGTGTTCAGGCACAGCCTGTGGGTAAAAACAGCGAATACCCGTCTGATCCGACGTTTAATGATGGATTCGGCTGCGAAGACGCTCTCACCAACAGCCGAGAGCTCCATGGTTCACCATGCGCCTCGTTTATTTCTGTCTCTTTTATTATTTTTTTGGCTTCACCGTGTCCTCTTCGGGTTGTTTAATTCCGCACATCCCATAATACGCAATCTGGAGAGGACGTCATCACGTCTTTTTCTGTTGCCAGGCACCGCAGTCGGTAGGACGGATCGCGGTGGAGCACATTGGCTCAGTTGTTGCTACGTGCTCCGGGTTTCTGAGTGAGGGGGAGGAGCCCCGCTGCTCTGGCTGCTGTACAGGAATGTCTGGCACAGTGGGACAAGCAGAGTCAGAGGCTCCCGGAGCGGACCCACGGACCCCCTGAGGTTCCCGAGAGGGGTCCATAGAGTCCAAACCAAAAGAAAAAAATGTTTGATTTTTGTATAAGAAAAAAAGAATAAAAAGACATTAACCCGATGAGAGAGGAGAATGAGAGGTTTAATCCTCATGCACAACCAATTTGACACAAAACATATTATATAATATTATCTATACTTGTAAAATCATGAATAATTAAACAATAAAATAAACGAATATTCTCACAAATACAAATCGCTGCATAAAAACTAGGCCTATACCAGATGGGAACATAAAGGATCAGATATACAGTGTGTCATATTGAGGATGCCAGAGGTAAAAACTTTCCTCTCAGACAAACTTTACTAGGATTAGTCTTTATTCTTGATTGATTATTTTAAATAACTAGTTTAATACAATCTGCGACAACACAATTTTATTTACACTTTCGGCCCGTTTCAGGTTCACGGTGCTGAATATCAATAGAAAGGAGCCCGCACCATGCGTAACTGGACTTTTGCGCTTTGACATTTTACGCACGCTGGGTCAGCACACAATGTCTGCGCACATAATTCAGTGTGTGGCGCAAAAAGATTGTGTTGATAACAAAAACTGAGAGCAAAAAAAATCCTGTTGGATTTTAATGATTATTCCAGAGACTGTATAGTTTTGTTGTCGCACGAGCTCATTCTATTGCTCGCAAACATTTAAGGCTAGTCGGTTTATTTAGAATCATTATATTTATATATTTCATAATATTATGAAAAGCAAATATGGTCCAAAACGACCGCTTTTATGTCGATGTCTTCACTCAAAAACAAGCACAACATTCAAAGCCTTTAAACCCAAAATATTTCATATTTGAGGGATTGCATGACGTTATTCAAGCTGAGTTTTGAATTTCTGAAAGCATTGGTCCAAGGTGGAACATTTTTGGTTTAATGGACTTCAACCAGGACAGAGTCTGCTTTGCCAACAGAGGATGAAGTTTGGCAAAAGTTTAATAGTTCAAACCTGCTGAACTGTCTCTGGTTTGTGTAAACCAATCGGCAAAATATTGAGATCCAAGTCTATTTCTGTAAGAATGTTTTATGCATCTATAGACAATAAAGATTTTAATGAATTTAATGTTCATTTCTTCTTGTATAAATATAACCATAAAGACCTGTTGTTTGTAAGATTTTGGCAGTGGTGAAATCATTTTTTAACCAACAACTGTTGAGATAATATTAGTCTAATATAACCTATTATTGTTGTTATGTTCATTTATTGTTTTTGTAATAACTAAATGATTTAATTGTATTTAAAATGTGCGTATTTCTGCAGCCAGCAGCAAATTGTTGATTTATTTTTTTATTTTTTGCCAAGCAATGTTGATAATATTCACTCGAAATATTAATCACACAAATTAATAACAAACACATGGAGAGGAAAAAAGGAGGGAAGTGCGGAGCTGTTAACTTCCAGTGCTTGTAATTTTTTTTGCAGGCCTCAGGTGCAATTTTCTACACTCATCAGCTATTCATTTTAAATGATACATTTTAATAAAATAAAATAATAATACATTTGGCCACAATCTTACATTTTGCCAATAGAAACATCAGTGTATGTTAATCTTAAAGTCTTTATTCCTGTCAACATCACCCTTTCAACTGAGCTGAACGGAAGGTCAAATAGATGCCAGTTAATGTTAATTAAATTATTATTTAAAAAAAGAAAACCTCTAAACACAAAAGAGCATGGGCTCAATACTGGAAATATATTATTTTTTTGTGCAGATTCTAACTCTTCCTGTTTCCCACTGTGTCTATTTATTAATTGCACAAACATGTAGATGAGCACAAACATTTAGATGCAGCCTGAGCTGGCTGGTAAGAGTTTATACACCAAATGAATAATGCAGGTTGAAAGTCTCCGCATCAGTCATCCATCACCGAAATGGTTGTTGAGGCTGTGAACAAACTGTCTGCAGGACAGAAATTTCCGTTGACCAACAGCAATTTCTTTTGGCCACTGTGGCGATTTTAAAAGACGTTGCAGCTTTCACAGGTTGATACAGCTAAAAGACCACATCTTAATTATTTCTTAGTTATAATCCTCAGAGTCAATCGACATGAATTTACCAGAAATTCTTGGTATTTTTGAAAAATGTTGCCTACACATTCAATTCCCTCCCTTTTTTTTTCTTGATCTGCGTTCTTCATTGGGTCGTGTAAACTATGAGTGCCTGACTTAATATTTACCATAAATGACACAAATGAAAGAAAATACGTTTTTAATTAATCTTAATTGTTTATGGGGTTAATTGGATGCGGGGCCAGCTAGGCTACTGCAGATGTGGAAAGTGGAATCGGAACCCACGCAGGGAGGCAGTCTGTCGTTTTGTCCGTCTTCATTCTAAATCATGTAGGCTAAAAGATACTTAATGACTCGTTTGCTGCTATCTGTCTGTTTAAAATTTCCCTGCTGTGGAGCAGACAAAGGCGGGCGCGCCGAGGACAAAAGATGCGTTGTGGCTGCCGTCGAAATATGAACCACCATTTTGATAGTCATAGCCTGAAGACCGACATTTCCTGTCGGTACTATAATGGCTATAGCCTGCAATGTTTGTGCTCAGAGAGAAAGAAGCCTAGTGCGCGTTGTGGACAAGAGGCAGCCTCACGCAGACTGCTGCGGTTCTCCATATTTGGCTGCGAGTCGGTGAGAAGTGAATCTACAGGAGCCGCAATGGCGACAGCCGTACATGAATAAACAGTGCTGGCTCTGTGAGAACATTATTGGCTCTCTGGTTTCTGGGCAACTGCTGCACACAGCTCGCTGTTCACTGTCCTACTTACCGGGCGACATTTTCTGCTGAAGGTGGCTCACACAGAAAGAAAAACCTCTAGCGAGAAACTGTGAAGCCGCACGGCTCTGACCTGCAGATGTGCCATATTTCAGCGCATGCTTTGAATTAGAAAGCATCCTTTTTAACAGCCCGATACACCCGACCGCAGCACGAGCTCCCATGTCTCATACTATAACTATTCTGGGTTCTGGACTCTGAATTCTGTATGCATAAAGGTGGATTCTCACGACAAAGAAAGCTCCACTGAGGCTATTTCCATTGTTTAATGCAGCAATGTTTGGAAAGAAAATCCAGGAAATCAACAAATCAAATCCATAATGAATAGAAGCCCCTTCCATTTTTTAATTTTTTTAAAATAATTTAAATTTAAATTTTCTGAGCAGCAGGCCTCCATCGGGTCAAAACAGGGCTTTAAATCAGCCACACGACCCCGATGTTGTGAGGCTGCACTGTGTACAGAGATGAAACCGACACTGTGCAGGCTGCCCGTGGGCACGTTGATAAAGGGGGAATGTGAAACATCACACTTGGTCTATAAATATGTTCCCCTTACTCTACGATGTTTCAGGTTCCTATGGTGCATGACTCACATAGTTGGTGCAAAGCCATGAAAGGCCTATAGCCTTCAAACATACACAGAGAGACATGCGGAGCTGTGTGTGTTCAAGATTTGTGGAATTCCGGTCATATCAACTGATACCAACTGAGTTTCGCAATTGACAAAATATGCTGTCATGCGTGTCTTTGGTTGGCAGTTTTAGACAGACTTCTGGGCCTGTTTGGAGCAACTGATTGGTTGTCATATTTCTGCCTTTATTAGACTTATACAGCTTACAAATCTTAAACACCAACGAAAATACATTCGTTATCTATTCATTAATAGATTTAGTACGAGTATTAAGTGCCCTGTCAGACACATTTGGATTTAAAGTTCATTAACTCTTAATTCTCCCACTTAAGCGGGTAATTCTAATCAGCCAGATCCCAGAGAAGGAGAGGAGAGAACGTGTCTGTTTTCATGGGTCAAAATGAGTTTATAGGTAGAGATTGAGACAAATATACGGGTGTTTGAGTTCTTGTGATTTCTTTTGTGCAATACCGACAAATCTTCTGATCCATGAGATCCCTTGAGGTCTGTAAAGGTATGAGGTGGTGTTAGCTTTAGTGCTCTTCCCGTTGTTGGCCTTCAAAGATATTAAAATAATTTTCTTTGGTCTTAATGTTGATTTTATGCACTTCTAAGCCAGACAACTGCAGAGGCAATTTCTAAGAGAAATTACTCATAAATGATAAAATCAAGCTCAGAGGGGAGTTCACAGAGGTTTGTTCTTTTAAAAATAGGTGCAAATTATAGCATCTTATGTTTTACCACAATCCATCTGATTAGAATGGGCACAGAAATAGCATTGATTATTTATAGAGTGTAGTGACCCAGAAGCAGACCAGGCAGCAACATGTGTATATAGACAGATGTTCCATGTTTCCTTCTGTCTTGTTTCTTTCCTCTTAAATATTTTCTGTTTCTGCATTCTTTGATAGGCAACTCCCAAGACTAAACTGAAGACACACACACACACACACACACACACACACACACACACACACACACCACATTCCAGGGCCTTTCTGTCATTCAAAACATTCAACAGTTAATCTTTCAAGCAGCTAGAGATTCCAGTGTAACAAAACAACAATTTCTGCCTGCATTTTCAGATAGCGCTACAGGCCTTTTAATGATCCTCAAACACTGACAGGGGCACAAAATCTTTGGCAGGTCAGTATTGAAAGTTAATTCATAAGAGCTGATGCACAAATGTGTATCTGAAGCTTTGCTTGTGTCTTTGTCTGAACTTGCCAATCTAAATGTAACTGTATGATAATAATGGAGAATTGCTGTGTCACAGTGGCACGCCTTTTGATGAGAAAACACTTTATAACAATGTACACAATGTCCTGGAAATGCCATGAAGCCTATTACACTCATTGTATTTAAATGGCATATAATTGATGCTCTTCCGTGCTGGACTGCACACACACTTATAAGCCATGTGGTGGTCAAATATTTAGCCTCTATGAAGCCTTTCTTCTTGCTAGAATCCAAGAATTACATAATAGCCTTGCCTGCCCTCCTTCTGTTATGTTGTGTGTACATTCCTGCTTGGGGTCAAGCTACAATAGAAAAATAATGCATGGGTAAAGTTTTCATAATACAAGTGGCCGGTGCAGTTATGCAATACAGAGGGTCCTTTGTGCAGGATAGTTTGTGATTATGCAACATGATCTGTTTTTCTATTCATGGTTCACAACCAAGTTAGTGTTTCTAGTGTTTAATGTTCCATTCATTCTCTCTGTGAGCAGAAAGGCTTCAAAACAACCACAGAACATGGACAATGATACAGAAATCTTTAGCTGTAATGCGAGAAAAAGGTTTTACCATTAGGCTAAGAAAAGTAAAAAGTATGTCCAAAATATCAACACACAACATGTCCACCATTGCACCCACCATATATCAAGGCAACAACATGTCAAGAGGTCTCTTCTCTTTCTTTATTGTGAAACATACCATCCAATAAGCTTTGCCAACAGCAACAAGTCAGCCAACTCGTGGTAGAACATACTTCAGAACAATCGTTTTTTACTCTCAACCAAGTGCAAGAAAGGATGAACAAAAACAAAGCAAAAGATCAAGAACAAAAAAAGCAGACAGAGAAAATATCTTTCAACAAAAGGACAAGCTGTTCAATGGAATCACTTGCAGCTTCTGATGCAGACAAACATCTTGTAATTATTTTTGATCAACAAATTAAAAGGTCAATAAATATGCACTTCTCATTGTTATTATTATAGCATTTTAGCATTAGATTTGCATGGAAGGCAATTTAGACTCAAATGTAGGTTACATCCAATAGCTTAGACATTTGAATTTTCAGCAGCATAATCAAAACAGCTTGCACTCACTGGATCACGTGAAACAGTATACAAAACCAGCCTCGTAACTCACATTTAATCTGTGTAACATACTCATTAATGAGCCTGGTAGCTTTTTCTAATCAGATCATATAATGAGCTTCAATAGCAAAATGAGATGAATGTTGCTTATCTGTGAGACATTAGGAGACTCCTAACAAGACTAGCATAGGTATTTTTAAAGTAACTCCAGCAATATGGGAGGTCAACAATAAGGTAATAAATCACAACCTTATTATGGTAAGAATCCATACGTCTTCTTAACGGGAAGTCACATGTGTGATAAATGACACCATTGTCTTAATGGTTACTGAGCCTTGAGAACGTACGTGTGTGTCACATTTTATTCCCTTCCAAAGGTGAGATGTGCAATAAAGTAACAGATCAGGTTGCAACGGCATATTCACTCAGGGCTTTGTTGCGTCTCAATGGCGAAACAAAAACCTGACAAAAGGAAAGACATTTCTTAGAGGTTGTTGACACAGACGAATGCGTCCCACAGTTCTCACTGTGTTTACACTGTTCTCCGACACACCTGCTTTTTAAATTTGCACGTCATGGCTAAATATATTTTGTAATACAAGCCACAAACAAAACATGTAATAAAATATGCCAATTCAGTCTGAGGGTATCTGTCTGGAGTGAAATAAGACTTAAAGAGAACAGCTGTTTCTCTACTCGTAATGAAACAAACTAACATATGACAATGTAATTAAGTGCTTTCAATTTGATCTTTGATCACCATATATGCAACGACTTCCTCTCTACCTTCTATTAGGACCAAAATAAGTGATATTATTCATACAAAATATGTATAAACCCTCATACATCTCAGGTTATAAGTTTGGTACAGGTATCAAACAACAGCAAAAGTATCCCATTAAGCTCCATATGACAAATAAACTGATTTTTTTCAGTGGAATACATCCACCTAAATGCATTCGCTCAAATCCTCGAGGGCACTTTCTTGGCTACAACATCACAGAGGAGTTACAGTATAAAACATTATAGGAAACATATTGAATTTGAATGATAAATTATAAATTTCCACATATACAAAATTCTGATGTTTTTACATATGCACATATTGACAGGATCATCCAATATGTCACTAGCAGTCCCATTTTACAAGCAGTTTCTTAAAAAGAAACATATTCCTTGAAGGTGACAGTGAGACTGTTTGTTGTGATGTCAGTGATTATGATATTTCCCATAAAAGGGGAGAGTTTTTTGATAGGTGCTTCCTTAGATTTCTCTGTGGATTGCTGTGTGTCTTCTACCACAGGAGGTGAGTTATTAACAGCAGGCTCAGGCTCCGCCTGTACTTCCGGCTCCACCTGCTTCTTAGTCTTTGGGCAGCTGAGGTCCATCGGCTCTTCTTGGCTGCCAGAGTCCATAACCTCATATGTACATGTGCTGCTGTGGCGTGGGCCACTACAGTGGAGGTCCATAGGTTTGTCCTGAGGTGGCGTGACCACAGTGCTGGGGACACTGAAGCTTCTGGAAGTCAGGTAGGTTTTGGAAATGCTCCTGTCCTCCACGGGATCTGATAGTTTTCGCTTGCGGTCATTGGGAAAAGAAGGAATCCTGATCTGGTCGACGGCTGTCAGGGTTTGGATGTTGGTGTCAACAGCCCAGGACGTCAGGGGTGAGCTAGCGGTCAGCTGAAGGGGTAGATCATCCGGTAAATCAGCCTGACCACGGGCCACTTCGGTGTTGTATTCCTCTGCTGTGCTTGGCGAAGGTTTGGAGAAATGTCTGTCCTTCGGGGAACACTTTATAGGATGCTCTGCGGCAGGCAGGGAGCTGCCGTTACAGATCTCTTTGGGGATACCGTTCTCCGGGTACACCACCATTTTGGTTGTGCATGCTGGATTGTTCTCGGACGGTTTGGTGTTTTGGGGTTTCCCTTCACTTGATGATTCCCCATGTTTACCCTTTGCTCCATGAACCTTGTTGCTGTCCATATATTTGCTCATTACAATAACAATACGCCCATTCTTGTTTTTGTTCTTGATTATCTTCATTTTGCTACTAATAGCGCTAGGCAGGGTTGCGTCTTTAGGATTGGGTTTAAGGGCATGCTCGCTCTCAGCGTCTTTAACAGCCGGTTTCCTCACCTCCACTGCCAACTCCTTCACTTTGCTCAAGCAGCCTGTGTCTTTGTCACGAACCCATTTCTGCTGCAGGGCCAGCGGTAAGTTCCAGCCAGGATTTGCTGGTTTACTGGCCTGTTCCTGAACTTTGACCACTTCTTTGAGCCTAGAAGCCTGTGCGTCGTACATACTTGGGTCAGGCTCATAGTGGTGGTGCTTCTTGCTATTGAGCTGGTAGATGAACTTCTTCTTGCTGTTGGTTAACAGGTCAGCAGGGACCTCCTGGCTGCTGGGCTGGTACTGATGGTGCTTCTTGCTGTTCAGCTGGTAGTGTTGAGGCTGGGAGCGCTGGACCTGTATGGGATCGGACTTGAGGCTACCCTCTGCATCCTGAGATAATTCCTCGAAACCTGCAGGAATACTGGATCTTCTGGCAAAAGAGGGTACCTTAAAGAAATAGACGAGAGACAAAGTTTAACATTTCATCTGTTTCACCTTAAAATCTTACTGTCAACTCAAGAATATAATAATAAACATAATAATAAATAAAGAAAACGTGAGTACTCAAGCAACAGATTAAAAAAAGGTCTAAATCTAAGCAACACAGGGTGAGATATCCAGAAGTCCTGAGTACATATAAAGTTCTTTAAAGACCAGATCCTACATTACCCATAATGCAAACACTTGCATCATTGTGTTTTAACCTCCCTGCCTGGAAAATGCCAATGTCTATCAATCTCCATACCCCCATTTTGTAACTCTGGGTTTTAGGTTATGAATTTTTAGTCTCTAAAGCCAAGCTAAGATAACCCTGGTGACATTACCATGACATCATCTCAGTTATTTTCTCAGACTTGAAAAATCTCTTCCAGAGCTACACGAGTCATTTATACAACTATTTTTACAGGCTGAGCATGGCCAGTAAACTGACTTTTATGCACGCTTAAAATCAGATAAAATTGTAAAAAGTTGACAGGATGCTGAAGCCCATCAGAAATTGAAAGAAACTATCCAATCCGTGCTCAGCTTATGACCTCCCTCCCTCCCACCATCTCATGCCATCCCCCTCCTCCTGTACAGACTGACCCCTCGGGCCGTCAGAAGGGCACTGCAGCGGAACGCTCAAGACGCTTTGGCTGTGACCTCGGGTCAGAGAAGTGCCACCAGACATGTCACGCTTTATCCCTGATTGCTGGCCACGTGTGACTCTGGCAGAGTGGTATGCCTCTTAAGGAGTGACACTGCATAGCAATCAGCTCCGAGTCTCTCAAAATATATAATCACATTTGGCTCAGAATATACGGTCCTGTAAAGGCCTGTGCTACTTACAGTCATCTATTTTTGTCTTGGGGAAACATTTGCAAACAGGGAAATGAAAGGAAACATTCTCCTGATACAGATTCACTTTGCGCAAAAATACCATACCCTACAATAATAAGCCCTCTTTTTTAAAGAGCAAGGAACTGTGTTTTGCGTATAACGCTATTTAGCATAAAGAAATGATGAACATGCAGATAAACCAGTGCACTCAAGCAAGGCTTGCGTAACCTCAGGCAACAAAGCCGGTTTCAAGATGAGTGTGCAGAGAAATCCAGCTGTAGAACCCAATCAACTCTTTGCCTTTTACCCCCCTCTCTCTCTATAAATAACCACGACCATAATGACGGCAGCCTTAAAACACCTGCCAGGACCCTTCCCCTTTTGGCCTCTCACAGAGTGACACTTACAGGAAGGCTCTGTAAATAGAGGACATTTCCACAGAAACTGTCAGTGATGACTCGTCAAACATGAAGACGATAATTACCTGCAGTAACAGATGTTTTGGTTTCGGCCCCCGTTTGCGATATCCCATCAGCTGCTCCTGCCTCTCTCTGTGAAAACAAAAGATAATTACAATTTCTTTCACCGTGTTTACCTTCTGTCTCATTTGACATTCAGTGCTTCACCCTTCTACATCTACATCTAATGATATCATAAATTACAGGTTAAACATTTGGAGCTTTTGTTCATTTTCTTCTACCTATTCAAGGTCAAAAGTGGAATTTTGACTTGGAGGACTAATGAATGCCCACATGTGACCAGCTGCAGAGCATTATGGTCCTTATTTGCATAGCTCTCCATGGTAATCGGCCCATTCCATATTCTCATTATCCTGGAGAAATTCAATTAAGGCTTCAGCAGGGAGACTCTCTCCTTGTCTTTCAAAACATCCACCCTCCTTCAGCATGCCCTTCCTCTTCTTACATTAAATTTCTAATTAGGGTCATGAGGTAGGGATGAAATGGGATAAATACAGCATTGTGGAGTACTTCTGGGATAGATGCTGCTGTTGAAAACATGCCTTGTGCAACGAAACGCCTACACTCTGACAATGTAAAGCGATAAATATCAGACTATTAACAAACATGTCTTGGAACAGTTTTTAGTGAGGGAGGAGCGAGCCAATCGTGTTATTGTAGTTGTACCAACTATACCAAGCAGCCTGCTGTCTGTGAAATATAGCACCCTGATATAAACCTTGACTCATCATTGCCTCATAAATAAACAGCGGTGGGTGAAGGCCGGCTGCACACAGGCTTCACCAGGCATGCGTAAACCCAGGCTGTTCTTGCTACAGATGTTCAAACTATCAGAGCTGCCAGAAGATTGCCACAATAAACTACATTTTAATGCTATAATGTGTGCGATTTCAAACAGCGTCCAACGGGGTGACCCCTATTCACAGAAGATTTGGCAATTACAGCCTCCCTTGTCGGATCCCCTCCCCCATCCTCTGGGAGCAGAGAGGAATCCACACACACAGCGCAGAGGCAGCACTCCATGACCATCAGCACAGAGCCAGGGACACACACACACACACACACAGAGGCAGGCAGGCAGGCAGGCAGGCTGTTGGGGAATATGAGAGTGGTGCACTGGAAATGCTGGAGAGCAGTGTGTGTCAATTAGCCTTTTCAGAAATGCGAATTCCTTTCCCCAGCCATGGCGTCTTTACCCAGTCCCATGAGCGGCCTGATGGCCCACAGAGAGAGTAGATCTCACAGGCCTCATGGGTCCATCAACCCAGACAAGATGTTGTTGTGCACGTGCCACAGGGCTAAAATGACAGCAGCATTTGTATTCATTAACATCTCAACCTCTGAGAGTGACATTTATGTGTTTCTGATTATTTTACAGGCCTCCATTAAGCGTCCTCTTGACCCGAGATTGAGATATTCTGTTTCCACAACATTAAATAGAAAAAACAAAGGTGGAAGATAAACATAAAAATCAAAACAGCTTTCTCTCTATAATGGAAAACACAACATGAATTCAGCCTACAAAAGTAAAGGAGCCTGATACTGGTAGTGACGAGAATCCCATCAGGTAGCAGTTTGGCCTCCTCACATGAAACGACAATAAGATGCCGTGCTTGTGTCCTGCACCCTAAACGAAAACAGTGAGGCTCAGCTGCTAATTCAGCACCTGTCCTGCTAAGGCTTTACAGTTGCAGAGCAAATGAACTGCTTAAAAAATGTGATGGCAAACAAATATTGTCATTTGATTCACAAGGGGAGCATTGCTTTTCCATTTTCATTGGTCCATTGTGCACCTTCTGGCAAAAAAGGCATCTACTTCAGTTTTCTTTGTGAAACTGGGTCATGGCTAGTGTTGAGCCTTCTGACTCATGACACAAAATCAGGTAATAAGATGATTATTTGTTACAATTTACGTCTCAGAACCAGAACATACATCCATGCATGCTTCCATTAGCATGATTTAGGAATTCTCACTACCACATCCCCAGCCTTTTCCCCAGGAGACAGTCCTGCAGGGAGGAGGGGGGAGGGGGGAAGCAGTGATAGAGTTACTGGCGCGCCCCTCCTCCCATGCCCATATATGGTCATGGTTGAACTGGAGGCTGAACTGGAGGCTGTAGCGGCCTTGTCCGAAGTCCACATCTTTCTCTCACCTGTGTTGAAACGCCACGAGGAGACGCGGGTCAAGGATGTTTTCTTCTGGTTCCCATGTGTTGTATCTGCAGAGAAGAGCAAACAACTGTCAAGCTGCTGTCATGTGCAAACTTCAAGCAGACACACAACATTCCCATGTCTTCGCCATTACTATGCACTAAGTGTGGAGTGCACAGGTATGGCAGACCTCCAGTTTTATGCCAAAAGACGAGTTTTTGTAGATTTTGTTTTTTTGTTTGTTTTCCTTCAACATAAATTTGAATAACATTGATTAGCCACATTCCCGCTGCGGCAAACCAACCATGAAGACATGCAACTGCACAGCAACATGTCAAACATAAATAGTATGTTCCCTCCAAACGGTTCTCCAGCACCAACATACAGTCGGCCATTTTAGCACCACTGTCTCGTAAATTCGCTGGCAGAGCAGAAATAATTAAAACGGGATTACATGGCTGTGCCTACCCCCTTCCCTCGCATAAATTAGTGAAGGCATCCACGGATACACTGAAACACATACCGACCGCGCTCTCCCAGTTTACACACACACACACACACACATACACATACATACATACACTGTTCGCGCACGCCCTTGATAATTATGCCATTTTTAAGTAACAACACTTAAATTTTCTTGCAAAATTAGGCTATGCATTTTTTTTCATCGCAGTGGTAAATGTTGTAAATGTTGCAATAAGACTTACTTGGGTGACCAACCTCGCCACTTGACCAGGTACTCTATCTTGCCCTGTGATGGTGGAGAAGGAGAAAACAAAATTGTTCAAGCTCATGTCAAACGCAATATTTCAACGGTCCGGGCTGCTTTTGCAACCATGCTCTCTCTCTGTTACCTTGCGGATGCGCTTCTTTTCTATGCCCTCCACCGCAAAGACATGCTCTCCGGCGGCAGGGAGCTCCATCTCGCCTGAATCCGAACGCAGGGGACGGGGAGTAGGTGAAATGTTGGCTACGCACCCGTCGATGTGCCTTCCGCTCGGTGCGCGCTTGGTAGTTTTCCAGTTGTATCCAAATCCAACTGTATTCCCTCCAGCACTCCTCCTCTCTCGCTCACTCAATCCCTCCTTTGCACAATCCACAGTCCTGGCTATGAGCATAGAGATATTCACAGTAGTGCGGCTGCGAGAAGCTCTTTTCGTGCAATAGCTTCAGCTCAGTGCATGACGTCAGGAGGGGAGGGGGGAGGTGGAGACCTTGCACAGAGGTTGGGGTTTATCCCGTGCGTACTGGACTGCAGGAGGGATGTCTGGAAATTCAAATCTACGTTACTGTAACAGCGCATAAAATCCACTTGTGCAGTTATATTGTTTATTTATAAAGAGAGGCTGGTGGGATCTCCTCCTCCTCCAACAGTTGATGCACTATTCATGAGAAACAAATACATTGGATGGTTGAATTGTAGCCTATTACATAGGCTATCATGTTTGGTTGTTAATTAATAGATGCATTAGTATAAGATGCTTAAACTGCTATTAAAATTAACTAAACATAGAAATTAGACAATGTGTTATAACTGCTTTAGGCATTTTTAAAGCTGCCAAACTGCACCCGAGAGAACTGAAATGACCAGTCAGCGCTCAAATATCTTCATCCTCCACCCAATCGATTTAATAGGAGACCTGTATGAAAATACACTAACAAAAGAAAGTCTTCTAGGCTTGAAAGTGGCAGCACTGTGTTACCAAAGCTTGTTTATCACTATAACTGAGGCGGGCGCACTGACGAAAGACAAGTTCCCTTTTTATTTCCGATCCCCTTGAGTGCAGAGGGAGGCTTTACAGTTCGATCTGCTAACTGCACTGCAAATATAGGTCACACACACACACACACACATTCTGATCGTCAAACCAGCGCCACGTCCTCTAGGCTCAACTGCCATTAATTTGACACACAGCAGAGGGTTGCTGTGCAGCCTTCAGCCTACCTGTGGCAACTTTCTAATGGCAAACTCCTTCACTGCCAGAGCGCTCAGCTTGTTTCCCCTTAAAATTAGCATTAGGTTACAGCCTATTTATTGGTTGTAATATTGGTTGGAGCACGTCTATCTGCATCTTGACAATTTAAATCCAAAAGCATAAACCACATCACCAGTGAGTGTGCACTCTGTGCTGTAAATGTCATCCGCATTAAGTGCCCGGATTTATGTGGACTTAATTAGAAACATGAGAGCAAACGCGCCTCCGCGCATCAAATACCTGTTTTTGTGCGTAAATTGCGAGTTGTGCACATGATTGTCACCAAAAAGGCGTCGTTCGTTTGGGTATGTCGCATTTATAGAACCAAAAGAGAATAAAACAAGCTCAAAACCGATGCTTTTCTTGCTCTAAAAATAATTCAGCACCACAAGGGTTAAATTGAAGCCTCCAAGCAGAGCGGCAGCGGGCAGCCTATTAAATACAGGCACGATATATCTCTGCCCTGCCATATAAGGCAATGGACAAAAAGCGCCGAAATGTTGCAGTTTGCACTCATTAATTCTCGATTTTTTGTGTTGAAATGGGTGCAGGAGGAGGTCAAGACTCGGTCTGTCGCCAACACGCTCGATTAAAACTGCGTATTTTCGCCCTATTCCTGTTTTTTCCTGTGCCCTTCAGCAGCGGCCAGGGAGCGCATACGCCCTGCTTCCCTAGCAACAGCATGAAAGGAGAGAGAGAGATCGAGAGACGGAGAGAGAAACAGAGAGAGAAGGAGAGAGAGAATTTAAGTTTGTGGCAAACAAACAAGCTCTTGATAAAATAGCACCAAGCAGCTGTCGTTTCCTTAAATTTTGTCTTTGAACAGGCTAGATCTTATCGAATCGAAATGCATACTCAAAAGCAAAGAGGTGTGAGAGCTTTATAAAGCCAAACTTGTAGGTGTTCACTGTCAGCTCTGTTTATGCACCAGGTACCCAAAATACTAATTATGTATCATTTTGTGTTTGTACTGACGGGATGACGCCTGGAGTCTGCGTCAAGACAAGAGATCATTATTTAGAAAAACCCTCCGACTCAGCCTGTCTTGGATCTGATCACAGCCCGATACAATATTTATATATTTGTTAATACTTCCAAAAATCAATAGCCTTTAATAGAGTGGGCTTCAATCACGTGGCAATCCTCTAAAGTGAAACAGCGTCACGAACACGCAGAATGACGGGTGGTTTCTTAATTAAACAGCTCTCAGGTTGCACATCAAGTGTGAAGGTTTGAGGAATCCGAAACCATTCGTTGGCTCTTTAATAATTATTTGCGTCTTTCTCTGAATTGGTTTGCTGAGGAGCTGTGCGCGAGATCCATACTGCCCTGAAGCACCTTGGTAATCATGGAAGTTTTCATATCCGGACCAAATAATTTGAAGCACTTTATTCACTACAATCTTATTACCTCTCTTTATGAATGTGAATATTTACTGTCTTGTTGGTCCCAGGTCTGTGCGCTCTCTCAAGAATGCGCTCAGATGTGTTCATGTCCCTTTTGCGCTTGTTCACCTGTGACTTTTACATTCAAGATGCAGATAAAAGTCGCTGCCTGGAAATCAACCGGTTTTACTTGAGAGTTTCGATTGCCGACAGCTAAATGCAAACTCTGCAGGCAAATGAAAAGGACACACACACACACAGACAAAAAGAAATGAAATTAACGCATTTTTAAAAGGACGCTGATCAAAATCGACCGGTGGCGATCAGGTCTTTTAGTTATGAAATAGCTGTGAAAACTGCTCGATCTCAAATTTAACAGCGGAGAGTCACTTCTGACGTGTTTCTCCCCATTTTATGCGGTTATCTGTGATGTGAAAATTCCCCTAAATGAATTATGCAGGCTAATTTGTAAATGTTTTTCCTATACCCTTTCAAAACGGCACTTGTCTTATAGGCTACTTTCTGGAATTCATATTTCTAGACTTCTTTTTTTTTATGCTCCAGGAGTGCTTTTGTAGAAACCTTTCAACGTTTGTTTTGTCCTTGCTGCAACTTGTCAAGGTCAAATGAGCTGTTATCTAAAACATGGGGATAAACTCAGGGTCAGCCAGTCTGTGTTTTATCTTCTGTTTGAAGGGACTGTTTCAAAAAACCTATGGAGTAATTTCATTTCAACAAAGAGGCTGTTTTCCTTCCTGTCAGTGCTTTATATAATTACACATTGGAAAGAGAAAATATATTTCTTTGAGACAGTAAAAGCAGGAAATATAGTTACTTTAACATTGCAACTTTTGTGAGTTTAAAGGATTTTGTCTGATAGATTTCTCAATGGGCAAAGAGTGAAAACGGGATGATTTTGAGTGCATGAAAGAATGTTTGTCCAGGTCAGGTTAAGTCCTGATCTCTGGTCCGGTCTCAGCAGGAAGCAGGACGAGCTCAGCCTTGTGACTTATGTTTTTCATTGCAACACCACTTTCTTTCTTCACTCTCCCCTCTTTTTGTCTTTCACACACACTCTGCACGCACACAGCTGGTTCGCTCGAGTAGCGATCCACAAAATGGTGGCTCATGGGAAAGCCAGGAGGCCTCCCCTCCTTGGCACCCGCCACCCATGGTGCCAGGAGTGCCAACTGAGGGAATGGAGAGATGAGGGGAAAGGAGGAGGGAAGTGTGACTGATGCAGAGGGCAAGGGAAAAGAAAAAGGTGTGGTGGAAAGAGGGATGAGAGGGACAAAAAGGAGACAAGGAGAAAGGAAAGAGAGAGGGGTAAAAAACGTTTGCATTGGCCAGAGCCAAGCGTCCAATTCATTCCTCCACAGCGACGAGGAAGAAAAGAGTTGATTGGTTTAAGGGACAGAATGCAAGGACGGGGTTTAGAAGAGGAGAAGGAGGGGGTATTACAAAAATGTTAAGAGGGCCCTACAGCCATTCTCACGGCGCTCAGCAGGCGGTCATTAAGCTCCACTATCAAATAGCCTGATGTAGCAAGGACATACAGATGAAACATGCACACAAATGGCCAGAAGACAAAAGAACCAAAGTTCACACTGCTGCTGAAAACAGGAGATGGAAACTCACTGATTTACTGAAATAGAAGCTCCTTAATTAGCTATTGTAAATATACTGTATGATTACAATTTACAAGTCTATTCAGGCTTTAATTATACTGTAACAGAAGCTATCCCTTTCCAGTGCCTGCATCCCCTTGTGCTTCAGGTGCTAACACAGAAATCTCCCGTTTCCTTTGTCTGCTCCTGACATATGTTTAATTATGATAATTGTAACAAATGAAAGCTATTAGGAAACCATTCATCTTGGCGCTGCAGATTTTAATGCACTATGAAGATGGGGAGGGGAGGTGTGTGGTGTGTGTGTTTGTGTGTGTGTGTGTTGAGGGGGGGCCAGCGGAAATTCCTCCTCCAGTGTCATTGTCACGGCCATTGTTGCACCAAGGCGACAGGTCTGCAAAGAGGGGTGCTCCTCTGCCAGGGTGGGCTCTCCCTCCCTCCTCCTCCCCTCTGCACCCTACCGCCTGCTTTGCCTGCAAGGCTGCCGTCGTGTGGGGTTCACCCCCACCCACCGCCTCCACCACCATGCGCTTCCCTCATTGATCCCCCCAATATCCAGGAGCCTGAGTAGGAGGTGGGGGTGCAGAGAGCCTGTGAGAGAGGGAAGGGGAGGAAGGGGGGCCTACACGCACAGCACCAGGCTTACAGGGGGGTGGTAGGGCGCAAGGGCCAAGGCCAGGGGAGGAGGTGGTGCAGTGGAATTCTGGCAGAATGCGGCTGAATACACGACTTGTCAATACAGTATTGAGCTGCAGCGGCATGGAGGCGAGTAGGATAGCCTGGATGTTTGACCGCTGAGTTCTTGCATGCAGCACAGCGCTACTGTACACTGAAATGATTTACTCGCTGCAATCAATGACTGATACACCGCAGCTTTGTGCAGGAAATCACAATAGTGAGCTTGTACACAAAGCACAATAGTAAGCACACAATGGTGCGCCTCAGAGAACAATAGCTGAATAATCCACTGAATAAGTGTGTGGATTTTTCTCCGATCTAAGGCAGAAACGACTCCCTCTGCACGGGATGGTGTGGTTATTCTCATCAGCGTGGAGCCCTTCGAAGTAGCAGACACGGCTCCTGCTAAATGTGCCTGTGACCCAGTGTTCAGATTTAGCTCCCTTCACTCTAATGCCATGGTAATGATGAGTGACGCAGGCCCTTATCCTGAGAGCCCTTTC